TACCGTGGGATACCTTTTTGCCAGTATGAAATAACACATTCCTGCGGAGGGAGCTGGTAGGAACGTTGGGTTGCTCGGTCAATGGCCAGGGTCAACGGCGGCGTGGTGTATTCCGCAAATATGCCCGACTGTGAGACCGGGCACAATCCGGCTTGAGTAGGTTAAACGTTGAGTTTTATAAGGGCACCACGGGGTGACCAGCCCCTCCCCACCCAGCCCCACCCAGCCCCACCCTCACCACTCTCCCCTCCCCACCCAGCCCCACACCCCACCCAGCTTCACCCTCCCCACCCAGCCCCTCCCCACCCTCCCAGCCCCTCCCTCCCCACCCAGCCCCTCCCTGCACGACTGACACAATCATCCCCTGTGGGCTGGTGTAACCAGGAGGTTCCTACGAGTATAATTCATATTCCCTCTGTACGTGCACGGGAAAGAAAAGAATGACATCTCGTTATTTTATTTGTACTCTTTATTTATATTGTCTTCTCGAATTTGCCCCCCCCCCCGAACCCCCCACTTAACTTGACGCCCCAGGCGACCTCCCGATTTCACCTACATGGAAAGCTGCCTGCCCCTGCCAGCAGCCTGCCGTTGGACGCTACACGAGCTGGTGCCAGACGCCCGCTGTGACCTAATCGCTCCGTCCGCTTCGGCTGGTCTGTGGCAGAGGAACAACACATTTGCTCTTGGCGTTACATTCGTGCACGTTGTTATTCATTTTGCCACGTCACATTATCACCTTCACTTTTTAAATCCTTTATATTAAGTTCGCTTGCTTGCTTGCGTGCTTGCTTGCTTACGACCGTGCAAATCTTTCGGTCGTTTTTTAACCCACTTCCCGTGATCCAATCGAGCTGACATTTTCCACACAGACTCGTTGTGCGTGACAATTAATTTTCGTGAAAAAAGAATTTCAAAATTTTTACACTGTTTAGGGAAATGTTTTTAAATATTTAATTACCAATTGCTTAATGGTGGCAGACAATCATCTGACCCATAGGTGGCAGCCATCTCAAGCCAGAGGACGAGAGGACTCTAGCCGCCACGCATATAAAGGATTTAGAGTGAAAAACTTTGTTTTTACGAGTTAATTTTTTTATTGTTGTACTTTTGACTTTAGGCACGAGAGATTCCAATCAACCCTAAAGTATATCATAGCCTTACCGATGCTTCATCGCCTTCACTCGCCTGTGGAGTTTGCCTGACAAGTATTCGGGGAAAAAAACTGGCTTCACGCCCATGATCCAACTTGTTCAGGGAGGTAGGGGTCGGTGCAACATTACACGTTTGGGAAGCTATATTCTGATTTAAAGCTTTCGTGACTGCAGAGATTCATATTCTTGGTTCTTTCGGTAACGCCAGCGTAGAAGGGAAATAATAAAAATGTAAAACAATATTTTTTTATATAAAACAATATTGTTTGATTTTTGATTTAAAGCTTTCGTGACTGTAGGGATTCATATTCTTGGTTCTTTCGGTAAAGTCATGTAGAAGGGAAATAATAAAATAATAAAAATATAAAAATTCTCACGTTTCGACTGCAACACAAGCAATCATCAGGTGTGAAATCTTATATTATATTATTTTATTATTTCCCTTTTACGTGACTTTACCGAAAGAACTAAGAATATGATATTGTTTGATATTTATTTTATTATTGCCCTTCTACGTGACTTTACCGAAAGAACCAAGAATAAGCTATATTCTATTTGGCAACACATTCACCTGAACGTATTCAGATTTATTCAAGCTCCCAAACATAATGCGTTGCAAGGTGGCCACGAGATAGCGGTACAGAGCAAGTTTGTCGTCTTTTCTTTGAAACCCCAGGGGTGACATCGCCCCTCACGTGAGCGGGTCTTCCCTGCGTGCTCCTCCCGGTGTCCTTCCACGCGGCACACCGCTCCTTCAAGAGGAAATCGGTCAAAGGTTCCAGTGCCGGACGTGCTCCTGAAACTAAAACGAGTCCCGAGACTCAAAGAGGATGGTTACTGGATGAAGGAAAAGTTGAGCAGGGTGGCACGGTGGCAAACACTCCTGCCAGCTCAGCGGCAAGAACCTGGGTTCGATTCCCGACTTGGTCGCGTTTGTGTGTGGAAGTCCGATGGTTCTACACACCCACACCCCCTCCCCCGTTCTGCATGGGGTTCTTGGGGGGTTCTCCAGTTTCTTCCGTAGCCACAACACAAAATATAAATTAGAATTGTAAATGCTGTGGGTTTTACTCTCGAACACACCGGTGTTCTGTACCGAATTTCCACGTTGTTTACGTGACAAACCTTTACTAATTGGCTGTGTCGGGTGGTGGCGGGTTTAACGACACGTTTATATATTTACGCGATCCAACCCAAAAAATCATCTATTATGGATATTGGTGGGGGAAGCCGATGACGTGTTGAACTACAAATTGGTGTTGGCCAAACATCCCAGTCCAGGATCCTCCTGAAAACGAGTGTTGGGACTCACTCTGGCCTCGCTGAGTAAAGAGGTCATTCTCAATCTGCCGCAGTCGCACGCGAAAAAAAACATTTAGCCGTTCAACGATTCCACAAAAAAACGCCGCAACATTTATTTATTGTCATCGAATGTGATGTTGGAGCGGAAAAACAAACACTCTAAAGCTACATTATCTATGGATTAAAACAAAGCGAACATCTTCTTGGTTCTTTCGGTAAAATCACGTAGAAGGGGAATAATAAAAATAAAACATAATAAAATAATTATCACTATTCTCACTATGAGAATTATTTTATTATGTTTTATTTTTAGAAAATAATTCTCACTATGAGAATTATTTTATAATGTTTTTATTTTTTTATTTTATTATTTCCCTTCTACGTGACTTTACCGAAAGAACCAAGAAGATGAATCCCTGCAGTCACGAAAGCTTTAAATCGAAAGCGAACATCCTTCGCGGTACGTTAAGTCAGCCACACACAAAACCCCGAAGGTAATTGCAGTAACACCCTGACAGGTGCGAGGACGACAAATATCAAAACGATGTAAATCGAAAGCGGTTGACAGGGTGGTGGTAGTAGTAGGTGGTGGTGGTGGAGGGCGATGACAGGGTGGTAGTAGTAGTAGCAGGTGGTGGTGGTGGAGGGCGATGACAGGGTGGTAGTAGTAGTAGCAGGTGGTGGTGGAGGGCGATTACAGGGTGGTAGTAGTAGTAGGTGGTGGTGGTGGTGGTGGAGGGCGATGACAAGGTGGTAGTAGTAGTAGGTGGTGATGGTGGAGGGCGATGACAGGGTGGTAGTAGTAGTAGTAGCAGGTGGTGGTGGAGGGCGATGACAGGGTGGTAGTAGTAGTAGTAGGTGGTGGTGGTGGTGGAGGGCGATGACAGGGTGGTAGTAGTAGTAGTAGGTGGTGGTGGTGGTGGAGGGTGATGACAAGGTGGTAGTAGTAGTAGCAGGTGGTGGTGGTGGTGGAGGGTGATGACAAGGTGGTAGTAGTAGTAGCAGGTGGTGGTGGTGGAGGGCGATGACAGGGTGGTAGTAGTAGTAGGTGGTGGTGGTGGAGGGCGATGACAGGGTGGTAGTAGTAGTAGCAGGTGGTGGTGGTGGTGGAGGGTGATGACAAGGTGGTAGTAGTAGTAGCAGGTGGTGGTGGAGGGCGATGACAAGGTGGTAGTAGTAGTAGCAGGTGGTGGTGGTGATGGTGGAGGGCGATGACAGGGTGGTAGTAGTAGTAGGTGGTGGTGGTGGTGGAGGGCGATGACAGGGTGGTAGTAGTAGTAGCAGGTGGTGGTGGTGGTGGAGGGCGATGACAGGGTGGTGGTGGAGGGCGATGACAAGGTGGTAGTAGTAGTAGCAGGTGGTGGTGGTGATGGTGGAGGGCGAATGCTGAGAGGCGACGGACGAGAAAGGGTGAACGATGCTGTGTGTGTGTGGGGTTGAGGCGACGCAAATCCAGGTGGCGGTGTTAATTATAATTAAAAGGCCACGAAGTAGTTTGCAAAACGACGTCAAAGGGGGAGAGGAGAGACGTAATTCTGGGGTATCACTGCATTGGAAGCCAAACGTAGGGCCGCTGTGTATTTTTTTTTTTTGCGGAGTGTTACGTTCTCGCGCACGCACGGCAAAGTTTCGTCCAACAAGCGCCGTGCCCTCCTGGACCGCGCGGGGCTTTTCGTAGCCGGTACGACTCGCAGGTCATTTCTGTCACTTTGCTACGTCGGGTGGTGGAGGGTTACGCAACAAAAACTTTGCTAAGATAATTTCGTGGCCGAACCTGCAAAAATGTATATATCTATTATGAATCGTACCGTTATGCCAATTATTAGAAATCATCCACAATCACCATTAAAACAACATGAAAAAAACTATGTTTCGTCAAACTCGCCTTTTGTAACGGCGTTTTTCATGAACGAAGCATCGACATTTTAGCAGTTACATTCCTTAGAAATTTCGGTCCGCGCCTACGATCGGCACGATCGGCACGATCGGCACGATCGGCACGGTCGGCTACGTACGGCGGTGAAGAAGTTCAAACCACGTGCCAACAACGTCTGCTCGCCAACGAAAGCGGACCGACCGGTCACCAAGATGCCACGCGAACGTCGCTCTCGGGGGATAAACTCCGCCGAGGCTACCGCGCCCCGCCAACGAGCGGCGTCAACTTCCGGTTTCCGATCAAATCCCAAAAACAAACAAACCAACAAAAACAATTCCCCAGACCGTCTCAACATTTCGCATACTTCTATGCCCCCCGATGTTCGGAAACGTTCTGGGATTCATCTTCTTGGTTAGACGCTGTCTCCCCGACAGACCTGGTCTTCACCTGGGACGGCTGCTTGCGTTGTGGCCGAAACGTCGTGAGAATTATTTTATCATGTTCTATTTTTATTATTCTATTATTTCTCTTCTACGTGATTTTACCGAAAGAACCAAGAAGATGAATCCCTGCAGTCACGAAAGCTTTAAATCGAAAGTTCTGGGATTCATCTGAAAATCCGGGGAGCATCCCCACCGCCCCCCCCACCCCAACTCTGTGGCCTTGTCCTCCCGTCGTCAGACGCGAGCCGCTGGCACGGAGACGCCCGAGACGGCAGAGCCGCGCTTCCAGGCGAAGAGCACGGCGGCTCCGGCGGCTCCGGCGAGGATCATCAGCAGCGCCGCGGCTCCCCCTGGCGACACCAAGCGGCGCTTCCGTTTCGAGGCGATGAAATCGGCAGGCGTCGGCGAATCGGTGCGGCACTGCCAGACGACCGCGCGCAGAGCCACACCGGTTAGCGATCGACACGGGGCAACGGTTGACGCGGCTGTCAACACCCCCGCCACCACTACCTGGGGCGCAGGGAAATGATCGTACGACACCGCCGCTACGTAAATACGAAACCACGATGGTTGGCTGACGTCACGATCGTTGTTATTGTCGTTGTTGTTGTCGTTGTGTAAACGTTGACGATTTATTGAAAGTTGTTATTACGTCATGATTTCAATTGTAATGAGGGTGGATTGTTAAAATCCCACTGCAGTGAAACCTCCTTTCCTCCCCTCCTCCTCCCATTCTTTTCTTTGAGGCGACAACCTTTGCCCTCTTCCTTTGGAACCTCAAATCCCTGCCTTGAAGTTCAGGAGTCTTTATCCCTGTGCAAGCGGTAAATGGCCGGAAACGTCACCTGATTACGCACCTTTTATTTTAAGGCCACACACGTTAAGTTACCCACCCCCCTGTACAACATGCAATTTACTCCCGAGGTCCAAAGGAGAGTCTCTTGTCTTGTCGATGGTTTACCCAAGCGTTTGGTCGCCTTGCTCAGGCCCTCACCGCGCGCCATCCAACAACGCCGCTCTCTCCTGGGCCTCCACCCACGCCGGAGAGTTCCCACCGATGCTCTCCTTCATGGGCACACGTGTCTCTCATCCCCCCCCGGGGCAACCTCTTCCTTTAACCTCGAGCTGGGTCGCAGCACATGAACCCCCCCCCCCCCCCCCCCCACACACTCTAGACCGCACACAGCCTCTCGCTCTCATCTTTTATTATTCGGAAATTGGCTTTTCCAGGGTGGGAGGAACACAGGCAGGAGTCTCCGCAGCAGCTACTGTTCCCCCCACCCCCCCCCCCCTCCCAAGGTATAGGGGGGCTTCTTCCAGGTCTCCGAAACAAACATTTTTTTTTAACCTGCCAAGGCCCACTGAGCTACGTAGCTCTTTTTCAGACGCGACCTGGACATCACGAACGATAGCTCAACGGAAGTGGCTTATCACGTGGAAATTTCTAGCGGCCAAATGCTACAAATGCACGTTTATACTATTTGTGCGAACCTAAGCTAGCGACTCCCATAAGTCGATGTCGATGTCACAATAAAAAACAAGTGCCTTAAAGAACGTCCTTGAATGAACCGTTTCTTCCGTCCTCGTGGGGACCTCCCCCGTGCAAGGGTGGCGAGTGTGTGCCGAGCGACGCTCAGGGTGGCGCGCGTACCTCCCGCACGGAGCTGAGCAGCGTGGCCGCTTGCCGGTGCAGGGCCTGGGCGGCGCTCATTCCACGCTCCATCTGGTCGAGCAGCAGCTGCGTGGAATTGTACTCAACATCCACCTGCATTACGGGCAGAGGGGAAAGTTCGAGGCGCGCGCGCGAGGGTTGCCCGGAAAGCGACGCCCCACGGGACTTTCGCTGGCAAGGGGACGCGTGACGTCGTCTCTCGGTGGCGTAAAAGCCATTGAGGTGGAACAGGGGGGGTTACGTGGAAAAGTAATGCGCATGTCACCAATAAATCTTGCGATTTTACGGGGGCAGGTTTCACTTTTCATCAATACATGGTGGTACAGCAGAGTGCGGACTAATATCATCTGTTCCTTCTGTACGGTATCGCGCGTTTCCTCCCTTTGTAGGTGGTGGGTTTTCTCCGAGTGTTCCCGTTTCCTTTCCTACATGCCCACACACGCTGATCAATTGACTGAAAGCATCTTTATCTGTAGGGGACTGCAGATCTTGGGAAATTGCTGGTTACCAGCTCACCACCTGGCCGTCTTCCAGCCTTGCCGTCTGTGGTTTCCCAGCGTTTGAGAGATGCAATCTGCAGTGTAAAACTGCAACATTAATAAAGTAGATCATCGATTATCCGATGGCTTACGTGGGAAGCGAGTGCCAGATCTTCAAAAACGCCGGACAACCACGTAACTGTTTAAAACATCTTATTTTGACACATTCTTGCATAACATTGCTTGTAGGTGTTGTATTTTATTTGTTTACTTTATGAAATTGGCACGAACATACGAATAGACAAAAATAAATATCCTACTGTGAAAAGTTACTTTATTTACTGTATTGTACTTATCACTGCAATCTCGAAGACTGTGCACGGGGCGATGATAGGGGCTGTGTAGAATTGGAGGTGGTTATTCAGAGTCCGAATCCAAACTCCATCAGCTGCGTTGGAGGTTCGCCGGATCTGCCGGGACCGCCGGATAATATTGGGGGGGGGGGGGGGGGGGGGGGGAGCCGGATAATCGCGCCCCGGATAATCAACGATCCACCGTACTCTTTGGTTCTTTTGGTTAAGTCACGTCTAAAGATAAAATAATAAATTAAATAATAGCATATTACGACGTTTCGATTGCAACACAAGCAATCGTCATCAGGCATAAAATAAATAGCAACAAAAATCTAACTAGAAAACTATAGACACAGACATACAAGCAGACAGACATCACAAGGACACACAGAGAGAGGACACATATCGGCACAAAGAGATTTTTGTCGCTATTTCTTTTATGCCTAATGATAATTGCTTGTGTTGCAATCGCAACATTTAATATACTATTATTTAATTTATTCTTTTATCTTTAGACGTGACTTAACCGAAAGAACCAAAGAATAATTCCTGCAGTCAATAAAGCTCCAAAATTAAGATTGATCCACCGTACTGTTATTATTTTACAAGAGCGAATACCTTGACAGGTTTGAGCAAGGTGAGGTCACCCACGCTGTGCTTGCAAAGGTACTCCAGACTGCTCTGCATGTAGTTGCATTGCAACTCCATGTTCACCAGCAAGGTCATAGTCCCTTCGAAGCTGCGACACACAGGAAACAACGGCATCATCATCATCATCATTATTCCGATTTTGTTCACCAGGGGAAAGCTTCACCGGCTCTCGCGACTCTCTTCCAGGAGGGTCCTGCCAAGTTTGTTGAAGGAGGGGAGGGGGGGGGGCAATGATTGTTATGTATAATGCAAATCACGAATTTGCGGTGTCATTTTCAAATTTGGACTGTGGCGCCGTGAGACTAATGGGCTACTCTTGCAAAGGGAATCGCGGGATATTTTAACTGTCCCCCCGCGGCGCAGGATTTTTCACGGTTAACACTTAATGCATAAGAGGGTTTTTTTGGGTTAGATCGCGTAAATATAAATGTGTCGTTAAACCCGCCACCACCCGACATAGCCAACTAGTAAGGTTTGTCACGTAAGCAGAACGTGACAATTCGTTACTAGTACAGCACACCGGTGTGTTGGAGAGCAAATCTACGACATTTACAATACGAGAAATCAGATTGATCTAATCCAAAGAACCTAGATTGTGGATATTGGTCGCGAAAGCCTACACGTCAAACACTTAATGCGCCCGCGGTATTAATCAGGGAAGCCGCTGGATTCGAACCGTGAAGCTCTGCAAACAAGCGGCTTGGGGCCATTTCACCGGTCTGTAAAAAAAAAAGGTTAAAGCCACTGCCAATTCCATGGTCACAAATCACCGCAAGGGAAACAAAATAAAACGTCCGAAGCAAACATTTTACAGGAAAACACGCCAACGATTAAGTATCCCTGGAGAACGTGAAACTCTGCCATGAACACATTTAGCCGCGTGCAGTGACGGTGCATTAAGTGTCGCAGCTAAGTTCTCCCCCACCGCTAACGCGATCGATCGTGCGTTGCGACAAATAGACCGGAGCCCCCAGGCAGCACCAATAATTCTGTCAAAGTTCTAAGTGACAAGAGAAAGCCACCATCATAACAGAATCATAGTGCGGGGCGGTACTACGCACCGCACCGGGTACTCATTTCAGGCTGAGTCGACCTAGGGGAGGCCCAGGACCGGTTCAGATAATCGTCACTGGTGTCCGTGATTGGGATTCGAACCCGGGTCGCCGGGTTCATAGCGCAGCGTAGTGCGCTAACTGCTACACCACCGCTCCCCACGGAAGGGGGACAACAACAACAACTGCCATTCGCCACTAAGCGGCGGTGACGTCACCACGATGCTTGTGCCAGGCCATGTGCACCTTGAGTCCACGTGAAGTGTCGAACGCTCGCTGACAATTCACGCGTAAAAAGCACACAGCCTCTGTCCACATGCGTATAAACCATCGGCACTTTCGGAAGATGCGCATTGTGGTCCTCTTTGTAATTGTTGGCCATCGCAATAACGGTGATGTGGTGACAAGAGAACCGTGGACCGGCGAAGTCCTCGTTGAGAACCATCAGCAGAGTGCCGCTACCAATTTTCACCGCCGCAAAGTCGCGCCCCTGCAAACCGTGCACGGGGGACCCCCCTCCCCCCCTCCACTTCCGGAGCCCATTCGCTTGGCTACTGCCAACAATCTAATCTGCACGACGCACTTGTTCAGGATAAAAACCACCACGTGCGTGCGAGGGGACAACACGCTATCCCCCATGCAGATTGATTAAAACACGTCGAGTCCACATTTTGCCGTCCGGAATTCTGTCAAGGCAGAGGGGAAAACAGAGGTACCTCCGACAGCCACAGGAAAGGGCGTCTTTGCAACGTGCGCGCGCTCCACCAAGCCCTCACCCACTTCAGTGTTTGTAAGAGTCACGGGGTCAAACCCGCGGTGCGTACCTGACCGGCAGCTTGGTGATGTCAGGGATGCTCCCCGACTCCCACCTGCTCATGTGCAGCTTATGCGAAGCCGCGAGAATCTTCCTCTGCTCTCCCGTCTGCATCGCACCCAACTGCGGGTGGCCAGCACCGACGTGAAAATCACCGTCACGCCGGCAATATTCGGATAATACGTAGGCAAATATTCGCCCGCAGAGGGACAGTTGCCAACAGGTGGTGCCCTTTCAAAGGTGTTGTTGAGACGAGACGCGAGATGTAACAGCGGACTATGAAAAGCCCCGGCGTATGAGAGAGCGCGGTATGATTAAATAAAAAAATTAACCCGTAAAAACTAAGTTTTTCACTATAAATCCTTTATATGCGTGGCATCGGTTTTATTTTATTATTCATTTCTATTTTTCTTGAGTAAGAGTTTCATTTTTATCACATTGGTATTTTAAATAAAATATGGAAAAAAATTTTCCTAAAAAGTGGAAAATTTTGGAAAAATTTTTTTCACGAAAATAAATTGTCACGCACAACGAGTCTGTGTGCAAAATGTCAGCTCGATTGGATCACGGGAAGTGGGTTAAAAAACGACCAAAAGATTTGCACGGTCGTAAGCGTGCAAGCAAGCAAGTGAACTTAATATAAAGGATTTAAAAACAACCGTTATCATCATCTACTTTCCAGACATCCCGTCAAAGGAGACGCGAAACATCCACCACGCATTACTTAATGGATCCCACTCTTGCAATCAATCCAGTCCTTACCGCGGAGAGCTCCTGGTCAGACATGGTGAGGAGGTTTCTCAGCGTAACTTCCTGGGCCTGCAAGTAGAAAAGAGGGCCTCTCTCTCACCCGTCGCCAAGCCGCCGCGCATTTCGTGGCTGAACAAGCGTCTCCCGCACGCACGCCACATTAGGGATCGTCGGGGACATGGCAACTGACAATACAAACAACACTCTCGTATTAACGGACTAAGACTTTACCAGGTAGGGCCCACCGAGCTTGATAGCTATTTTTCCAGAAGCGAACTGGCTATCACAAATGATAGCTCAACGAAGCGGCTTGTCACGTGGACATTTATTGCAGCCAAATACTTCAAACGCGTTGATTCTAACTGTGGAGGGGGAAAAAAAATTGGAGAACCCGGAGGAAACTCCACGACACAAAAATATATTAGCACGGATGGCTATGTATGGTGCGAAAGAAGCTCAACATACATACATACGTCAGGGTCGGGATCAAACCCACGATGTCCTTCACACGAGGCAAGGGAGCTAACATCTCGCTACCATGGAAACCTTAAAAGAATTGGAGCATGCCGATGAAGCAACGTGTAGCGGCGTATGTTCTCTGAATATCCCGGGAAGACTTACATATTTCCAAGGACATGCTATCAGAAATAAAAGGATGCTCCTGGGAAAACCTTAGGCCATTAACATGGCCTGTTAGACCAGGGTCCGTTAATAGAAGAGGTGGAAACACCCAGACTGGGAAAGCCGGCGAGGAGGGAGAGACGTCCACACGGTGGGTATCGGCCAGGGCGCTGGTGGCTACGCACGTGACCTGTAAACCCAGCACTTGTAACATATTGTCCTGCGGAGGGAGCTGATAGGAACGTTAGGTTGCTCGGTCAATGTCCAGGGTCAACGGCGGCGTGGTGTATTCCGCAAATATGGCCGACTGTGAGGGCGGGCACAAGCCGGCGTGAGTAGGTTAAACGTTGAGTTTTATAAGGGCACCACGGGGTGACTAGCCCCTCCCCACCCAGCCCCACCCCTCCCACCCCCCACCCAGCCCCTCCCCACCCTCCCCTCCCCACCCAGCCCCACCCTCCCTACCCAGCCCCTCCCCACCCTCCCCTCCCCACCCAACCCCTCCCTCCCCACCCAGCCCCTCCCTGCACGACGGACGAACGGACACAATAATCCCCTGTGGGCTGGTGCAACCAGGAGGTTCCTACCAGTATTCTGTATGCATGTTGACCTTCTTTCGCACCGTACGCAGCCAAACCGCGCTAATCGGTTGGCTACGCAGACGAGTGGGTTGGGTGGATCGCCGCGAGGAACTCCCTCCCACCACTTTCTAGCTCGCCAGGAAATGGCAGAGCACGGCGAGTGGATTAGTCAATCGCCGTTCGTCTAACGTCTTTACGGGGATGAACAGGGCGCTTGCTGCCGCCACCGCATTGCATGCGTGGGGTTTTTGTCCGGGTGCTCCGGTTTCCTGCCACATGCAGTAAAAAAACAACAACCCCATTCATTAAAACGGAGTTGGCCGATCATCCCAACTTAAGACCGCAGAGCGAGGATGAATTGTTGGTGCCCGGTCCCTAGCTAACCTCCAGTATTTTCTTGTTGTCGTAACAGATCCCGTCAGCCACATTAGGCCCTCGGAGCGATGATTTAAGTACCAGCAACCCAAAGTGAGATCGAAAACTCATTTCTTTAGAAATGCTTTTAGTGCGTTAGTTTGTTGCCCTTACCCCCGCACCTCCAATGAGCACGGTTGGCTACGTACGGTGCGAAAGAAGTTCAACGTACACATCTACGTCTGAAACCCAGAAGGCCGTGTTGCTGATGGGATGTGGCAAAACCTTAATTTGTTTATGCAGGGGTACAGACATGGGAGAGGGGTGCGATTGTTTGATAACCTCTCTCCTTTCCTCCACGAGCTCTCCCCAAAAGCCCCTTGCACCTCCAAACTCCCAGACGATCCAAACAAAAACGCCACTTTTTTTTCTTCTTGGTTCTTTTCCGTAAAGTCACGTAGAAGAATAATAAAATAATAAAAATAAAATAATTCTCACGACGTTTCGGCCACAACGCAAGCAGCCGTCTTCAGGTGGAGAACAGCGTCTGCCGAGAAGGCAGAGTCTGAAAGCTTAAATCGAAAAAAAACGCCACTGCCAGGCGGCGCCTCTGAACCCCCCCGCCAGCCATCAAACGACGATGACGCACGTCGCCCCCGTTGGCCAACGTCGCGTGCCTTCGGCGGGGGCAACGGCATGCAAACCAACACCGCGTGTTCAACGGCAAACCAGCACCTGGAACAGCGGGACGAGGTGTCCAAGGTCGAGCCCAAATAAGAACTGCTTCAGATCGTCAAGCATGAGCTTGTTTCTGGGGGTGGGGGGGGGGGGGGAACCCACACACGAAGTCACGTAACTTTTATTCTGCTTACGGAGTCAAAGCTCCCTTCCCCCGGTACAGCCCATAACAGACTGTCGGGGCGAGTGCCGTTAGCGAGTAGCACCTACGAAGGCCGGCACTCCGGCACACGAGGGGCGTGGGGTGGCCAGCACCGTGCCCGGCCGCCCACGTCTCCCGACTGGCGACGTTTACCGCACACCGCCACACCAAGTGCACTCGGCGTCATGCGAGGCCGAGTGGACCTAGGGGAGGACCAGGACCGGTTGGGATAATCGCCGCCGGTGTCGATGGCCGTGAGCGGGAACCGAACCTCGGGGTGTCCGGGTTCGTTAGCGGAGCGCTAACGAGCCACACCACACCGCTCCCCACACGTGGCCTGACAAAGAGGTCAAGGCACGCGCGTTCGTCTGCTTACAGAGACAAACACAAGTGTCCCTCCACGCTCCACGCGGTGATGGTGGTGGTAGCAGTAGATGCGAACCAAAAAAAGGGCGCACAAAGCGAAACCGCACGAAGAGACGGCTGCCTGCCGAGTAGCGTACAGGGTACACGCACGGTACACACACAGTACACACGCGGCACACACGCGGTACACACAGTACACACAGTACACACGCGGCACACACACGGTACACACACGGTACACACACAGTACACATGGTACACACACAGTACACATGGTACACACACAGTACACATGGTACACACGGTACACACACGGTACACACACAGTACAGACACACACACGGTACACACACGGTACACACACGGTACACACACGGTACACACACAGTACAGACACACACATGGTACACACACGGTACACACACAGTACAGACACACACACGGTACACACACAGTACACATGGTACACACACGGTACACACACAGTACAGACACACACAGTACACACACAGTACACACACAGTACAGACACACACGGTACACACACGGTAAGGTCCTGCTCTGAAACGTTCTGCTCCGAAACTCCCGGATCGGCGTTCCCTCGCAGCCGTTGCAGCGTCGGTATCGAGGCCTCGGCAAGGTAAGGTCATTTACCCTTTTTACCGGGTAAAAGGGTAAAGGTGTCGACACGCCAAGGGGTAGGGTAAAGGGTAGGGTAAAGGTAGCGCGGAAGAATTACCCGGTAGGGTAAAGATTCAAGCGCGAAGTATTACCAGGCAAACACCTTGTGTTTACCGCTCGCTAAAAGCTCCGTGGCGCAGTCCGTGGCCTCCATTTAAAATTGGAATAATCGAGAGTATTCTATATGAATAAAGCGCTCTACCTAGCATTCACCTGTTATAAACCTTGTTCATGTGTAGTAGTGCCCCAGTAATTACCCTGTAATCGGGCAATTTGTATGGGGTAAGGGTAAAATGTAGGGTAAAGGTAGGCTCGTTGCTTTTACCTTTTACCTTGCCGAGGCCTATCGGTATCGCCGGACCCGAAGGCTGCAGTGTGGACGCAGGGTACCTGATTTTCAATTCCAAAGCCTTGGTGCTGACAGCGCTGATTTTGTTGGTAGACGCCATGAACTTGCACGCCCCCGACTCCTTGTAAGACTCGAGCACGATCTGAGACGGGGAAGGAACCAGCGTCACCCCAGTGCCCAGCGTTCCCCCCCCCCCCCCCCGTGGTTATCGCTGCGCTGCACGGCACTCCCGATGCGATGCCGCCTCGTGCGGCGCGTCGTCCGACGTCTCCACCGCCTGCTGCCGCTATCTCAACGCGGGCCCCCCGGCCGATGCTCGTTTCGCTCCCGTTTACAAACACGCGCTCGTACGCACGCGAAGGAAACCTTAAGCATCAATGCGTACACACGCTCATACATATAGACAAAACAAAGACAAAGACTGTTGGGGCAAGTGCTGTTAGCGAGTAGCACCTATGAAGGCCGGCACGGCACACGAGGGGGTGGGAGGCCAGCACCACCCCAGGCTATCTCTGCCTTCACCAGTGCTGGTGTTTACACTTGCATCCCACTGGGATTTTTGCACACAGCGTTGGTGTACGGTGTTTTTTCTGCAATATTTTGCTGTCTTTTCATGGATTTTCTGTTTGCACTTAGTCACATATTCACTTTAAGATGTTTTTGTTCATGTTTTTGTTTTTTCTTTGTTGCGGTTGCACCCGATTCAAGAGCCGAATGGCTCACAGGGCTGTGCCTTATAAATGAACTTGAAAATGAACTTGAACTTGAACACACCACAACAGGTACTCATTCATGCTCGAGTCGGCCTAGACGTAGCCTAGGGACCGGTCGAAATATCCGCCACCGTTATTGCTCGCGAGCAGCTCTCGAACTCAGGTCGCGCTAACCGCTGCGCCGCCGCTCCCCCCCAGGTGCCTGCCGCACCTGCCCCGCTCACCTGCACCTTGCTGAACTGGAGTGCCAGCTCTTCGGCGGAGAAGCCGCCGTTGGTCTTGATGGCGGTGTCGGCGCCGAGCTCCTCCAGCCGTCTCCGGCACGCCTCGTGGCCTCTGCTTCGCGGCCCAGTGCAGCGCCTGTGATCGGGCCGAGAGGGCAGAGCTGGGTGGCGGTGCAAAAAGTATTGCACCCATGGGACCTCCTTTGCCAGTACCAAAATATATGATAATAGGTTTTTCCTATTATCATATTTTGGAACTGGCAAAGGAGATTCCATGATGTAGGTGCTCACCCCGAGCTCTCATTACTCTGATAGTGCGTCGTTGTCTTTGAGCTGTACGCCTTTTGAGACGAGGCTCAAAAGAAAGCTGTCTCTGGTGTGGACCAATCAGTTTCAAGGACAATGCATAAACTATCAGTGTGTTTTTGTTTGCATTCTGACCACAAGTATTGCGGTTATTTCAGACATGATTCCTTGCAAAAGGTTTCAGTTTGGTACTTTAACAACTTAACACAACTGTTTTGTTGCCAGAAAAAAGGGGGAAAACCTATTATCAAGTATTGCACTGTTGCGTAAACAGACAGGGGGAGACGTGTCACATGCTTACGGTCCATCCGTGCTGGTCCTGCAAGTTGACGTCTGCACTGTGCTGCCCCAGCAAGGCCACCGAGTCCTGGTAACCGTCGCGGGCAGCGTACATCACGGCGCTCATCCCCATCCTGAGCCACAACAGACAAAGGCACATGCAAAAAAGATTTAACTACACTTATTTGGACCATCTTATTTGACAGACAACTATTACAGGTTACTGATAGACAGCCAGTTTTGTTTAACCAGGTTTAGTTTTTCTTTTTTCACACTTTTGTTATGTAGGCTAGGCGTTAGTCACAAACCGCACCTCTCCATAACAAAGGCTCAGTCTTTTGTTATGCAGTCTATTCTTAGTCTTAAGCCTCACCTTACCATATTAATAAAAAAGTGTGCCATTCCTGGCCCTTCCCCCCTATCTCTTGTAATCTCTCATTTACTTGATACAGCTGTCGTGGCTGTGACGGTTCCACCTGAAGACGGAAGCTTGTGTTGCTTCCGAAACGTCGTGATTTTTTATTTTATTAATTTTAATTTTAATTTTTTACCTACGTGACTTTACCGAAAAAACCTAAGAATATGAATCCTTGCAGTCACAAAAGCTTCAAATCTAGAATTAAAGGCAAAGATCTCCCGTGTGGCTTTCAACGGACTGCAGGGGCAAGTCCTGTTCGCGAGTGTTACCCATGACGGCCGACACGGCACACCAGGGGCGGGTGGGTGGCCAGCACCACACAGGCTGCTTTTGTGGCATTTATTCCGGACTTCCCCGTAGTTCCGTTCGATTTGCTAGCAGCGCGGCTCCGGATCTGGGTGAGATTCGAGCCACTCCTGGGTTGTTGTTTTTTTTTCAACGAACTGCCGAAGGAACAACGCTCGAAGGCCCCGACAACGTCACGCAGCCGGCAACGACCGGCAAACCACGGGGGGGCGAGGGGGGTTCAGCCGCGGTACCTGTCGGTGACGTTGGTGTCGAGCGCGTGCTGGAGGAGCTGGGCGGCGCACGCCACCGCGTCTCCCGCCGGCCGGTGAGAAGGTGCGCACGCGGCCATCAGCACCGTGTAGCCACCTACGAAACGGCCGTCAGTGGCGCGGGTGGTGGCTCGTGACGAGCGCGGAACCACGCCGGCGACGGGCCGCGCAGAGCAGAGGTCACAACCGGGTACCCGATACCCGTACCCTACCCGATACCCGACTACCCGTACCCGGCCGGGTACGGGTACCCGTTTGTGACCCTGGTGCGGCCGGGTACGGGTACGGGTAAGGAATCAAAACCCGTTTGCGACCTCTGGCGCAGAGCAACTCCGCGTCGTCCAGGATGCCGTCAGCGGGCAAGCGCGCTTGCCAACACGCAAGGGTTCTCGTCGTATTGTGCGCGAAAATATGAATGACACTTTCATTTTATAGCGCGTCATTCATGCCAACAGCATCCCACGACGCCGTACATTAGTTGTATATTTAAGGACCAAATCCCACATACACGGCCGGCACGTGCAACACACGTACGTACGTACCAAGCAAAAGAAAGCTCTACCAACCCAAGCAAAATAAAAAATGAACAAGCAAATTGAGAAACGGGCACCAGAACAAAAAGCGCAAACAGCAAAAAGGTGTTCATCTTCTTGGTTCTTTCGGTAAAGTCACGTAGAAGGGAAATAATAAGATAATACAATTTATTTTGTATACTGATGATACTATGTAGTTTATACTTTAGTTTTTTACGTGGTGGTTTAGTAACTGCAGCTATATACTATTAACATTCCTTCCCTTTGTTAATGCTACCCCTATCCCCTCCCTTTGATGCTGCTAATCCTGCATAATGCACGGGCATAATATGACTTTGAAACCCCCCGCCCACCTCCTACGCATTTCCCATAAATATGCTAAATTCCTCTTGATATGCAAATTATTTTATCTAGGCGCTCTTCTTCCCCCTCCAACCCAGCTTAAATATACGCTCCAAGCTTGGTGGTGTTTCATTATTCACCTGAGGACGGCTGCTTGCGTTGTAGTCGAAACGTTGTGAGAATAATTTTATTATGTTTTATTTTTATTATTTTATTATTTCCCTTCTACGTGACTTTACCGAAAGAACCAAGAAGATGAATCCCTGCAGTCACGAAAGCTTTAAATCGAAAAAGCAAAAAAGTGATCGCAACAACGACGACGACAACAAAACCACAGAGGCTTTCGAGAAGTCAAACTATCGATCACGAGTGTCAAACCTCACTGCCTCCACGGTGCCGGATTACAGGCGACGTGCGTATTATAGCCACCCTCCGCCGGGCAAACCGCAGCAATCGACAACAACATCCATGAAGAGCCGGCGCAAACGGCACCATGGTGGTCTCCACGGACGACCGCGTCGCTGACCTTCGGTGGCGAAGTGAGCGCTGGCGCCACGAGCCAGCAGGACTTTCACCAGGGCCGGGTTGGCACACACGGCCGCGTACATCAGCAGGGACCAGCCGGAGGAAAGCACTGCGTTCACGTCGACGCCTACCGGGCCACACGGACACAGACAAAGAACCGCCACCCCCCGTGGAGCCTTAACGGACTGTTGGGGGACGAGCGCCGTTGGCGAGTAGCACTTACGAAGGACGGAACGGCACACGAGGGGGTGGGTGGGCCAGCAACACGCCCGGCCGCCTTTGTCTCCCCAAAGACGATGTTTACGCACCGCGCTAGGCACTCATTTGAGGCCGAGTCGACCTAGGGGAGGCCCACGACCGGTTCAAATAATCGTCACTGGTGTTGGCCACGAGCGAGAATCGAACTCGGGTGGCCGGGTTCGTAGCACGGGCACAATCCATACGGGCCTCACCACATCTTCAATTTGACAAATTATTTGGAGTACAACAACAACAAAAGAACAAATACAACGCATTAATTAATAACACCGTGGGGCCTTCGGAAGAAAATATATGGCCAAGGTAATCAGTATTTCGGGCAATAGCGCTTTGTCATAGACTTCATAGCGTGTAGGACATTGTCACGCAAGCTACTGCAGTGTGGCGAGGTCAGACTTAGTAGATATATATATTCTTAGGTTTTTTCGGTAAAGTCACATAGGTAATTTTTATTTTTTACCTACTGACTTTACCGAAAAAACCTAAGAATATGAATCCTTGCAGTCACGAAAGCTTCAAATCTAGACTTAGTAGATATATACTGTACACAGGTGACAATTCTGACATTGGGCCTTCTCCATACGCTTGCGCTATGATCAAAGCACGAGTGGATGAAGAAGTGGGATACTGTGGCAACGTCACACACGTCTCCCCAACTTGAGGAAGGGCTATCGCCCCAAAACAACACCCATTACGGTGTTCGCTCGTGTTCTTCACCAACTTGGCTGTCCGCGAATCGCATCTGGAACGTTACACGACTGCTGCATCGAGAGAGACAAAGTGATGAGATAAAGTGATGAGAGAGAATGTGATGCGATAAAGAGATGGCAGAAAGTGACGAGATAAAGTTATGAGAGAGAGAAAGTGACGGGAGAAAGTGGCGAGATACAGAGATGTGCTACTATGATAGTTCTCACGAATTGAATAGCTTAGTTGCGTATTTATTTCGGGTAATTGATTATACTTGAGTATTAATATTGCATTAACCACACTACTTAAACAAGGCTGCTGTCTCAAAGACAACGCCATAGATTACCACGTGTTGGTTTGCATGTTCCCCACAAAGTGCCGTGTGTGTGGTTAAAGCAGGACTTGATTCCCTGCAAGAGAGTTTCCATTTTGGCATTTTAACATCTTAACACACCTCCTGTGGTAGTGCCCGAAAGGGTAAAAAAAACACCTATTCGTATTTTTTTCCACCACTTTGATACTGTCAACAACAATAAAAAGATCCCATACTCTTTGGTTCTTTCGCTAAAGTCACGTAGTTAGAAATAAAATAAAAACAAATCACGACCGCTTGTGTTGCGATCGAAGCGTCGTGATTTGATTTATTTTATTTCTAACTACGTGGCTTTACCGAAAGAGCCAAAGAGTATGGATTCCTGCAGTCACGAAAGCTTCAAATCAAAATTGAAAAAGGTCCCATTTTTTTGCCGCAACAACAACCGACCGACTGACTGACCCGCGTCCAGCGCCTCGCACACGAGCTCCTGGTTTCCGGCCATGGCAGCTGCCCTTGTGTCCTCCAGCGAGAGCAGCCTGCCCTCAGCTCCCACCACTGCTGCCCTCCTTCTCCTGACGCTGCTGCCACCCGCCACGTCCCGCCGGGCTGGGCCAACCTCGGCCACGCGGCGCGGCTCCCCAGCGGCGAAGGCCTTGCGGGCACTGGCACGCTCGGCCTTTTCACCGAGGCCATGCCCACCGCCGCTTGCCTGTCGTAAGAGGAACGGGGGAATGCAAGAATCAAGAGTGCACAGTGAAGGATGGGGCCTGTGCCCTGGCCAAGTGTCTGGCCAGTGTCCGTATCCACGTCGCTCGTTCTCTCTCTGTGCTGTGTATCTCGCTGTGAGCCATCTCTCTCTCTGTGCATCTCGCTGTGAACCATATCTCTCTCTCTCGTTCTGTGTATCTCACTGTGAGCCATCTCTCTCTCTCTGTGCATCTCGCTGTGAACCATATCTCTCTCTCTCGTTCTGTGTATCTCACTGTGAGCCATCTCTCTCTCTCTGTGCATCTCGCTGTGAACCATATCTCTCTCGTGCTGTGCATCTCGCTGTGAACCATCTCTCTCTCTCTCGTGCTGTGCATCTCGCTGTGAACCATATCTCTCTCGTGCTGTGTATCTCGCTGTGAGCCATCTCTCTCTCTCTCGTTCTGTGTATCTCACTGTGAGCCATCTCTCTCTCTCTGTGCATCTCGCTGTGAACCATCTCTCTCTCTCTCTGTGCTGTGTATCTCGCTGTGAGCCATCTCTCACTCTCTCTTCATATCTCTGCATTTTCGTCCTCTCTTACATCTACGTCTCTCTCTCTCTGGACCATCGCTCGTGTCTCTGTATCCCCGTGTCTCTGCATCCCCGTGTCTCTGCATCCCCGTGTCTCTCTCTACGGTACAGAACGAGAAAAAAGATGCTGGAAGGTGACACTAACAGCTGCTCTGTGCTTCCAGTGTTCAGAGGCCTGCTTAAGGCGCGGCTCCGGCTGGAGCACGCATACCACACGCATGTTGGTGATGTGCACGTCTTCTTCGAACGCTGGGGAGCCATAAAAGCTCTTTGTACCAGCGTGGACGGCACCCTCGTGTTCACCACCTTCTGAAGCGCTCGCTCGTCACCGTGGCATGCGCGATGACCACCACCAACCACCACCACCACGTGGCTTTTATTTTGTATTGTGCGCGGTGCTTTCAGCGCCACAGCGCGTCGATTTGTAGCGTTTATTTTCTTTTGTTTGCTGGTGACTTTGTGTATTTCATATCGAAATCGCCTCCAGTGCTGTTGCTGCTGGCGGCAATAAAAGTTGTTTAAAAATCAAAGTCTCTGGACCATCGGTCGTGTCTCTGTGTCCCCGTGTCTCTGTGTCCCCGTGTCTCTGTGTCCCCGTGTCTCTGTATCCACGTGTCTCTGTATCCACGTGTCTGTGTCCCCGTGTCTCTGTATCCACGTGTCTCTGTGTCCCCGTGTCTCTGTGTCCCCGTGTCTCTGTATCCACGTGTCTGTGTCCACGTGTCTCTGTATCCACGTGTCTGTGTCCCCGTGTCTCTGTGTCCCCGTGTCTCTGTGTCCCCGTGTCTCTGTGTCCCCGTGTCTCTGTATCCACGTGTCTCTGTGTCACCGTGTCTCTGTGTTCCCGTGTCTCTGTATCCACGTGTCTCTGTGTCACCGTGTCTCTGTGTCCACGTGTCTCTGTGTCCCCGTTTCTCTGTGTCCCCGTGTCTCTGTGTCCCCGTGTCTCTGTGTCCCCGTGTCTCTGTGTCCCCGTGTCTCTGTGTCCCCGTGTCTCTGTGTCCCCGTGTCTCTGTGTCCACGTGTCTGTGTCCCCGTGTGTCTGTGTCCCCGTGTCTCTGTGTCCCCGTGTCTCTGTGTCCCCGTGTCTCTGTGTCCACGTGTCTCTGTGTCCCCGTGTCTCTGTGTCCACGTGTCTCTGTGTCCCCGTGTCTCTGTGTCCACGTGTCTCTCTCTCTACGGTACCTCTCTCTCTATCGCCCTGCCTCTCTGTCTCTATCTCGGAGATAGCAGAGATACGCGTTTCATAACGCTTCGTGAGAACGATCCGATTGTTGTTGTTGTTGTTTATGTTTAGGCGAGAACGACGGCTGGGTGGGTGTCGATTGACCGGTGGGGTTCGAAGGGTGGCGATGAAATGAAGGGGTCTGGGATGGCTTTGCTTGACGCGTTCGCCAAAACTCTTTGGTTCTTTCGGTAAAGTCACGTAGTTCTATTTCGATTTAAAGCTTTCGTGACTGCAGGGATTCATCTTCTTGGTTCTTTCGGTAAAGTCACGTCATTCAGACGCTGTCTTTCCGACAGACCTGTTCTTCACCTGAGGACGGCTGCTTGCGTTGTGGCCGAAACGTCGTGAGAATTGTATTTTATTATGTAAATGTTTTATTATTTTATTATTTCCCTTCTACGTGACTTTACCGAAAGAACCAAGAAGATGATTCACATAGTTCGTTACCAAAGAGTATGGATTCCTGCAGTCACGAAAGCTTTAAATCAAGCGTTCGCCAAAGATGCCACCCGCACGCAACGCGTTAGTGATGGTGGTGGTGGTACGACTCGGGGCTCAGGTGATGGTGTAGAACTAAACACATGGCGATGACAAACATCACGATGCACGGCTCAACATTCACGCAAGATGATGATGGTGATGATGATGGTGGTGGTGCAGGTCAGGCGCAACACACATGGTGGTGGTGATTAATATAATGACGACGACAGATTGGTGGTGGGTGTATCCAGATCATGCTGCAACGTTTGAGATGACGACGAGGATGATGAGGATGAGCTACAAATAAATGGTGATGACGGTTTACGATGATGCTGATGATGACGATGCAGAGCTCGTAATAGACTGACGATGGTTACGATGATATTCACGCTCAGCATGCCTGGACGGGCCGGTGGGGCTTTACACAACACACGCACAAAGACAAAGATCCCCCGTGTAGCCTGTAACAGACTATAGGGGCAAGTGCTGTTAGCAAGCACCTATGAAGGTCAGCACGGCACACGAGGGTGTGGGTGTCAAACACCACGCCCGTCCGCCTTTATCTCCCTAGTGGCGATGTTTACACATCGCACCAGGTACTCATTTGAGGCCGAGTCGACCTCGAGGAGGCCCCGGACCGGTTCAGATATTCGTCACTGGTGGTGTTGGCCGTGAGCGGGAATCGAACATTGCTGCATCCCTCGGGACGGCTCTGCCAGCGGCCAGCCCCAGCTCAAGGCTCACCGTTCTCGCTCTCCCAGTCGGATCAGCGTTGTGCTCGCGTGTCCAGGGTGGGAGCTCCACAGATATCGACCCCCTGGGCGGGTCGCCCCAGTCCCATTGATCATCGTCGTCGTAATCGACGTCCTCGCTTCCCGCGGGCCGCACTTCCATTCCCTTTCGTTGCCTGTCACGGTCGGAGCACGTGGCATGCCACGTGGGTGGACGGCCGCGGCTTCCGGTGGTTGAGATCAGCTGCTTCCGGTGGTTGAGATCAGCTGCTTCCGGTGACCGAGATCAGCTGCTTCCAGCCCTGGGAAGCGGCCACGTGGATCTATCCCTCAAGAATTGAGGATCTTTCGATTTAAAGCTTTCGTGACTGCAGGGATTCATCTTCTTGGTTCTTTCGGTAAAGTCACGTAGAAGGGAAATAATAAAATAATAAAAATAAAACATAATAAAATAATTCTCACGACGTTTCGGCCACAACGCAAGCTGCTTGCGTTGTGGCCGAAACGTCGTGAGAATCGTATTTTCTAATGTTTTATTTTTTATTATTTCCCTTCTAAGTGACTTTATCGAAAGAACCAAGAAGATGCTTGATAATGTTGCATTGTCTTTGAAACTGATTGGGCCACACCAGAGGCAGCCTCATTTATGACTTTGTCTCATCCGTGTCAGACCAGAGAACGGCAAAGCAAAAATCAACGCATTAATAGCACATTAGGTTGAGCTGTTATATCTATCTATAGGACCATTTTTTCATCGTAATATTCACATTTGTAAAATGAATACTACACACTTTTCACGGTACATTTAACCCATTTATTGCGAAAATCAAAGTACCTTAGTAACTTAACAAAGGCCGCCTGTTGGGCGAAAGATAAATATGACCAAAACAAGTTTAAGTATCAAGTTTATTTTGTTTAACCAGGTGAGAATGCAAAAAAGACCAGGATGATCTCATTTACAAGAGTGACCCGAATCAAATGAAATACATTACAGCAATTAAGCAAATATAAATTAATGAACGCTATCATTTGGAAACATTTTTGCACAAATATTAAATGATACATTCATTGTAGTGTTTGCCGTCTTGGGCAGATTTTTTTTCTTCAACTGGTCACGAAGAAACCCCACGTACAAAAGGTTCGTTGGACAAAAGAAAATGTCTCTTGGAAGGACAACTGGAATATGCTGCAGATTATGTTCTACTTGTGGTACTTATTGGAAACGAATCAGAATTTATACAAATTAAACAATACGAACATAATTGAAGGCTTTTGAAAAATGGAAATGGTTGTGTGTACAGTCCCACAATTTCCACAAACATTCTGAGAAGGACACGTAGCCGGATGTGTTTGTTAAACAAAAACAGCAATTCTGCACATCGATGCGAATGATTCAGTGGCGTAGTAACTCCATCAACTCAAGGGGTGCGGCAATAAGTCAGGTAGGGGGCCCCAATATTTGATGTGTCCAGCACGTTCGCACCTCGGCTATCCTGTATGCCGGGGATCATCTTGCCTAATCGCATCATTACGCTCACGGTCTCGAACATTTAACGCTGCAGGGGCGCTCCGTCTTCGCAACAATAAGTTTGTTGATCTTTTACACTGTTGCCAAAAACAAATCTCATGCTCTGTAATGTATGACTTACTGTTAGTAGCTCAGCTTATTGGAGAGTATATTTAGTATATTGATGATACTGATGTAGTTTATATTTTAGTTTTTTACGTGGTTTAGCTGCTGCAGCTCATTATTAAAATTCCTTCCCTCTATGACTGCTAATCCTACTCCTTCCCTTTGATGTTGCTAATCCTGCATACTGCATAATGCACGGGCATAATATGACTTTGAAACCTCCCCCCACCTCCTACGCATTCCACAAGTAGTGACTAATCCCATATCTACATTTCCCATAAATATGCTAAATTCATCTTGATATGCAAATTCCTTTGTCAAGGCGCTCTTCCCCCTCCAACCCAGCTTAAATATACGCTGCCAAGCCTGGTGGTGCCCATTCAGACGCTGTCTTTCCGACAGCCCTGTTCTTCACCTGAGGACGGCTGCTTGCGTTGTGGCCGAAACGTCGTGATAATTATTTTATTATGTTTTAATTACATAATTTTATTTTTCCCTTCTACGTGACTTTACCGAAAGAACCAAGAAGATAAATCTCATGCTGGTTGTCAACAGGGGGAGGGGGGGGGCAGCTCGTAGCTTTGGCCGCCAGGGGGGGGGTGGGGGGCAGGGGAGCAAGTCACCCCCTACCTGCCCCTACCTGCCCCCACACGCTCATTACGCAACTGCAATGATTTTTATTGTTAAACGTTCCACATTCGACGCCGACGTTCCACGTGGCACTCCACCATGGCCCCGCCCCCCGCCCCCGCGTGACGTCATCGCGCCTATTATGCAGTCACGTGGGCGCGACCGGCGAGGGGGGGGAGGTCAGGGGTCACGGCGTGTGTCATCGTCACGTGATCCTCCGCTCCCGGTGTCATGGCGTCACCTTCGCTCTGAGTCGCTCAAGCGGCGGGGTTCATTCTCGCCCACAACCAAAACGACGACAACAACAACAACAACAGCAACAACAACAGCAGTAACAACGGCAGCAGCAACAACAACAAGCGCGACAACAAACGCCATCACGAACAGCAGCAGCAGCAGCCACAACAGCGAGCGCACCGCCACCGCCTCGGAGCCCGCGCCATGGCGCAGTCTCTGTCCGATGAGGAGTTCAACCGCATGCAGGTGAGCAGCAGCAGCAGCAGGAGAGACAGCAGCAGCAGGGACAGCAGCAGAAGAGGCAGCAGGAGAGGCAGCAGGAGCAGGGACAGCAGCAGCAGCAGAAGAGGCAGCAGGAGAGGCAGCAGCAGCTGCAGGAGAGGCAGCAGCAGCAGGAGAGGCAGCAGCAGCAGCAGCAGGAGAGGCAGCAGCAGCAGCAGGAGAGGCAGCAGCAGCAGGAGAGGCAGCAGCAGCAGGAGAGGCAGCAGCAGCAGGAGAGGCAGCAGCAGCAGGAGAGGCAGCAGCAGCAGGAGAGGCAGCAGCAGCAGGAGGGACAGCAGCAGCAGGAGGAGAGGCAGCAGCAGCAGGAGAGGCAGCAGCAGCAGGAGAGGCAGCAGCAGGAGAGGCAGCAGCAGCAGCAGGGACAGCAGCAGGAGAGGCAGCAGCAGCAGCAGGAGAGGCAGCAGCAGCAGGAGCAGCAGAGGCAGCAGCAGCAGGAGAGGCAGCAGCAGCAGGAGAGGCAGCAGCAGCAGGAGAGGCAGCAGCAGCAGGTGAGCAGCAGCAGCAGCAGGAGAGGCAGCAGCAGCAGGAGAGGCAGCAGCAGCAGGAGAGGCAGCAGCAGCAGGAGGGACAGCAGCAGCAGGAGGAGAGGCAGCAGCAGCAGGAGAGGCAGCAGCAGCAGGAGAGGCAGCAGCAGCAGCAGGGGAGGCAGCAGCAGCAGCAGGAGAGGCAGCAGCAGCAGGAGAGGCAGCAGCAGGAGGAGAGGCAGGGACAGCAGCAGCATGGGCAGCAGCAGGGGCAGCGACAGCTGCAGCAGGAGAGGCAGCAGCAGCAGGAGAGACAGTAGCGGTGACCGAAGCGGCAGGAAGAGCAGCAGCAGGAGAGACAGCAGCAGGAGAGACAGCAGCAGCAGAGACAGGCACAGCTGTAGCAGGAGGCAGCAACAGCAGCAGGAGAGGCAGCAGCAGGGACGGGAACAACAGCAGCAGGAGAGGCAGCAGCAGGGAGAGACGGCAACACAAGAGATACTCGCAGCAGGAGAGACAGTCGCGGACAGGAGCAGTAGGGACTGCAGCGGTAGCAGCAGGAGGAACAGCAGCAATACAAACAGCAGCAGTCGCATGGACAGTAGCAGGGACAACAGCAGGGAAAGAAGAACAGCAGTCCCAGCAGTGGTATAGACAGCAGTAGCAACAGGTACAGCCACAGGATGGGGCAGTAGCAGTAACATAATAGCATCACTAAGGACAGCAGCGATAGCAACAACAGCGCGGGTAGCAGCGTCAACTCGGACAGCAGCAGTCATAGAGTAGCAGTAGAGACATCGGTAGCAGTGACAGCATCAACAACAGCGACAGCACCCAGAGCAGTGACAGCAGCTGTGACAACAGGGACAGCAGCAGTCATAGAGTAGCAGTAGAGACATCGGTAGCAGTGGCAGCATCCACAGCAGCGACAGCACCCAGAGCAGTGACAGCAGCTGTGACAACAGGGACAGCAGCAGTCATAGAGTAGCAGTAGAGACATCGGTAGCAGTGACAGCATCCACAGCAGCGACAGCAGCCAGAGTAGGGACAGCAGCTGTGACAACAGGGAGAGCAGCAGTCCTAGAGTAGCAGTAGAGACATCGGTAGCAGTGACAGCATCCACAGCAGCGACAGCACCCAGAGCAGTGACAGTAGCTGTGACAACAGGGACAGCAGCAGTCATAGAGTAGCAGTAGAGACATCGGTAGCAGTGGCAGCATCTACAACAGCGACAGCAGCCAGAGTAGGGACAGCAGCTGTGACAACAGGGGCAGTAGCAGAAACAGGAAGAGCACATTGCGATATTTTGGCCAGGGTAATGAATCAGAATCTTTATTTTGTCCTGCAGAAATCCGATGAGCTCTCAAGCTCCTTTTCACAGACGGCTTTCTTTCTTATCCGCTGGCTTACAGAACACAATTCATATTTCACAATTATGTTTTAATGCAATAAAGTGAACGCACCGTAGAATCGCTTTGTCCTAGCACGGGTCCGGTTATTCATCGGTACAAGCAGCAGCTGCAGCAGCAGCAGGGATAGCAGCGGTAGCAAACCAGGAACGACAAGGGACGGCAGCAGTAGTATCAGGGGCAGCAGTAGTATCAAGGGCAGCAGTAACAGGTCCGGTTATTCATCGGTACTTGCAGCCTGGGTGCGTGGGGGCACTGCCGTGCCCAGCAGCAAAGGGGATTTCCTCTGAGACATCGCTTTGAAAATCTGGCCCGTCCGCTCACTCGGGTTGCCACTCGCATCATCGCAACTAGGGGAAGTGTTCCTGTCATTTAGGTTTTGGTGATTTCACCTAATACGTAGCTATGAAGCTTTTCTTGTACGTATGAACGTGACTTTAAAATATGACGGTCATATGAATATACCGTAGCAAAAAAAAATGTTCTCTAATTGTTTTGTATTGTATAATCCAACCAGATGGCATTGTTGCTGAGAGCATGTGGTAGGTTTATTCAGCCCATCATTTTGCTAGTGGTGATGGAATAATGATCACAAAGCCGGCAGGCAACGATGGTCGTTCTATGAATAGACCGACGCTTTGTCGCGATAATGTGAAATTGTCATGGGTACGTGGAATTTCCAACACACTCTCACGGCCGGTGTCCACAAATAATAATGTCAACCTTTTAACGCGCGCGATATTCGCTGACTCGCATGGGGAGAGAGCGAGAGCAATAGAGAGAGAAAGTGAAAACAACTCGGGCACGGGGAACCACGCAGACAGTCGGGGAAGACAGCCAGTGCTCTGAGCCGGTGACGACAATTCGCCAAACTCCGCGATCCTCTTTGCCTGAGGGTTATTTTCAGGCAGATTAACGTGGTTTCATAAATGTGGGTGGAAACAGGAGCAGCCAGAGAGAAAACAAGAATCCACGCGGGTCGGCGGGGGTGGAAGGCAACGGCTGACCCCCGCGCCCAATGGAATCGATCGAGGGTAGTCCACACCGCATTCTCTTGGCAAGGCCAGGGCATGGGGGCGAAGCACACTGACGCCCACTGAACCGGGGGAGTGTCACAGCATCGGTGCGATTCGCCAAAACCTCGCCACCCACATTGCTGGGTTACAGGCGCGTGTGTCACCACCGCCACCGCAGCCCCTGGTGTGTTTGTTGCTGCTGCTTGCACACTTTTTTGCGTCTGCAAGTGATGTTTCACGCATCGCACGTTCGGGCTTGTATGTGGCGAAAACCCATTGCAATGCCGTAGCAGGGTATGTGGGTTACACGCCTACAAGAGCAGACCGCACACAGCGGAGACTTTTGCGCATGTAATACATGCGTCGTCACAGATGAGGTGTAACAACATCTTGTCATTCATATAATCTCCTTGCTGCTATACCTAGCCGTGTTGGCTTGGTCAACATTGCACAATAGCTATTCAGCTGAATTGAGCCTTCCACGAAATACACAAACCGAAACCGACTGTCTTTTCTTATGTTCACTTTGGCCTTCTCTTCCCCCCCCCCTCCGATAGTGTCGCAAATAACAGAAGGAATCTCATTCGTATTTAGAATATTCGGTGATCATCTGATCTGCATGATTTGTGATAGTTCGATTGAAAGTGGCATTGCTATCCAGGTACTGTTCAGCCACACTGTTGTTGATGAGGGTCCACTGCATTAAGCAGTATTGATGTCACCTTTGTGAACAAGCTTGATTAAACTGGCTTTGAATTTGTCGCAGCTTGCTTGCCAAGTACCCTTGTTATGAAACGTCGAAGGACATTTCCGAAATGTTTTTACCCGAAACATTTTCGCTTGTGCGTGACTCTGTGGCTCGCTCTGCCACCGGGACTGAGCCAACGCGACTCGGAGAGAGAAGTTGATGGTCTCAGCCCCGACCGTCGGTGATGGCACCGAATCCGTCATGTTGAGTTTGGGGTTTCACTTCATGATATTTTGAGATTTGAGACGTGAAAAAAATTGATTGGTTTTGACCGCCACGTGACAAACTGCCCTAGAGCAGGGCTCGTGAGTTAGAGCAGCACCCCAAGCGTGTGGATACCGTGCTACGTGTTGTTGTCCTTCGCCCGCACCTCCCATTCGCACGGTTGGCTACGAAAGAAGTTCTACAGACAGCCAAGATTTTTATAGTTATAATCTGAGTTCTTACTGCGCTGATATATGTTGTCCCTTGAGTACTACAGGTTTAAATTTTGATTTAAAGCTTTCGTGACTTCAGGGATTCATATTCTTGGTTCTTTCGGTAAAGTCACGTAGAAGGGAAATAATAAAATAATATTTATTTTATTATTTCCCTACTACATGTTTCCCTTGTAAATTAAACATATGTCCCGGTAGGCTTTCACCTGGCTATACCGTCCCGTGTGTGTGTGTGTATATATGGATGTGCATATGAGATTTTCCCTGTCATGCCAGTAGCTTGGGAGGTCTGGAGCTAACAGAACAGGAGCCGGATGGCTGCCGCTGGATTCTGTGACGGCACAGGGGGGCATCTTCTGCCGTGGGAACATATCGACGATTCGGGTGCCTCACAGTGGTGGATAATATCACAGGAGCTGGCAAAGAAACGGCGTGGGTGGCATGAGCGCCGTGTCAAAGGGGACCATTGTTGGATAACTACCCCAGCGGTGTTTTTTTGAGTCCGAGCTGGTGCCGAGTTCTTGATGCGAATCTGTTGTTGCAGGCCGAGTGCTCTAAAAAGCACGAGTTGTCACCTGTCGTACAAGTTTAACATGTTACGCGTGTCTCTTGCCACGTGCTGTGCCCGGGGTTCCACCGGAGCAAGATTGCATCGTGAATCTGTCTTTTCTCAAATACCTCCGCTGGAAATATGAGATAGGCAACCATCCATTGCCAGGGCAAAAATCACCCCCAACACAAGCGGATTCGACTGCGCTTTGTCTAAGTGAGCGCAGGCGCACTGCATGCACTGCGAATCAAGCCGGTGAAACATCACACAACCCCACACGCTGTTAGCACACTGTCACGGAAGCAGCGGAGCTTGATACATTTTTTGCAATTTTGTCAAAAAAAACAAAGCTTCCGGTCGACCAGGTTTTTCATTCTTATTACGCTTTTCTATTTTTGTGCACGGCAATATGCTAGCCATTCCTCCTCCGTTGAAGGAGCGCAGATGAGAGTGGTTTACTATACGGTCCAATAGTTTGGGTTGCTTGGCCACAATTTCACTGCTGTGGCTTCTCTTGAATGTTCCATTCATGAAGAAGATGTACACGCCGACCTGTTGATGTTCGGATGCGGTGGATGGTTACACCGATGCCTTCAAGGAATATCAAAGCCAGGAGGTGCGACGCTTGGGTCCAGATCGAGGTGTTTATTCTGAACGTCTGCGATGTTCCGTTTCTCTTGGCCAGTGTTCTTCTGGATCTGGGTGTGAGGTTCTAGGATGGTGACAGTGTGATCCCGGAAGGCAGATTGGGACTTGGGCTGCTAAAAGTAGACGGGTCACAAGTTCGAACCATCCGCAAGTTCGAAGTTTTTTTGAGAGGCAGATTCGTTTCCGGAGGTACATTGTCATTTTCATTGTGAGTAATGTTGCGTTAAGGGCTCGCCGCGCAGTGAATTGAGTCCGCAGAGTCGCGTGAGTCCGGCGAGACAAGCGAGTCGGCGTGCCATCGCAATGCCGTACAACGTGGCCAGGTCGGCGGCCCTTTACATCTCCAGCCAGCCCCTCGAAGCTGTGATTAAAAAAAAAATCGGACACCCACATTCGTTTCTACTCGTTGACGTGTTGCGCGTTTAAATAAATGAAAAGCAGGAGTGTGCCGGCCTACCCACCTCGTCTCACATCGGCAGTGACGAGGTGAACACGACTGTGGGACCCACGTGCCGTGACTGTGCCCCAAGACTCTGGTGTGATCTCGCACCAGGAAGTACACTGGATTGCGTTCCGCCCACGTGACTTTACCGAGAGAACCAAGAATAATGATAATATTGTTATTGTGGGAACAAGACTGCGAGAACGTTTCCATTAAATTTCTGTCGTGGTTTAGCGAACATCTCCGAAAACCCATTTTCCGGGACACTATTTTTGTTGCGAGGTTCAAAATGATGCCCCGGTGGTAATTGATTATATTGCGTTTTAATTTGTTGCAGGCTCAGCTGCTCGAGTTGAGAAAAGACAACTACCAGCTCACAGATGAGGTCAAGAAAAATCAGACAGGTGAGTTGCATCCGAGAGCTACACTCATCAACTACCACATCGTCCCACGCAGCTTCTACGTCATGATAATTGGAGAGGTGGAAGCGCCTATCACAAACGCTGGGCACGAATTTGAGATTTGGCTCTGGATGGTAGAGGGCAGAAAGTTTGTAGAGCAAGTCTTCGTTCGACGCGGTAGTAGATGCTTTTCTGAAAAAGTGCCGCTCTAAGCGAAAGGTGCGTCAAACGAAAAACAATTTCCCCATAAAGAATGTCACAATAAAGTTTGGTGAGATACGATGTACGCGCACGACACAGTGAGATGTCGGGACAGTTAACTGAAGATACGCGCCACGTTGCTGTATCATTCCCCCCGTTACTGTATCATTGCACCGCTCGACCACGCAGCTCAAGAAAGTAGTCCGTTGCGTTGCAAAGGTGCGCGTTCCGCCTTGTATGAGCACCAACGCGTTAAGCGAGGACTTACCATATTATTATTACTACACCATGCGCTTTTCTACAAAAGCCTCACCAAGTATCGTGACTCTCTTCCAGGAGGGGTCCTGCCAAGTCCTCGGGGAATGATGTCAAGGAGATCCCAATTAAATAATTTTCTGGTCAATTATCATAATTGTACCCTGATGTCGGCACAATGGCCTAACCTCGCCAACGATGCCACATGATCTTTAACATCCACTGCTAAGCACACGGCGCGTGTTTTTTTGTTATGATTATTGCACCCCTGGTCATGTCCAGATTGGGGTTTTTAAGGTTGTGGGAGGTGAAGGGAGTGATGCTCAACAAAGATACCATTTTGAGGATTTGTGGTTTGTAAACTTGAGTGGATTGCACAATGCTCATATATTGGTGAGTAAAACACACTTTGTAATTGTCATATTCATGGACTTAATCACAAGGGTGGGAAAGAGGTAATGGAGATGATATGTAACATTTTGGCATTATGATTGCAAGGAAATTGCACGAAGAATCATAAATATACCTCAATTTGCTGATTCAATGTATCCCAGCAGTTCTACAGATATCTTGGCTCATGAAGTCTTGGGTAGTTGCACTGAAACGATAATAACAATGTCACAATATTTATGCATGGTACATTTGGCATACATATCAATATGTGAATTGTACGAAAATGAACTAAAATAGTATTAATGTAATCAATTAATACCATTGTATTACGGTTAACTGCGCCAAAAATGTGTCATCTTGTACAGTACCGTACACGCACAAATCGAACACGCCAAAGTAGATAAATATTTCAATTCCCTCGACACGCGTGTTGGTAAATAATTAACGAAGTTGTGCACCGAATTAATAATGGAGGAGCTGATAACCGCTGCCCTGCGGGTGGCGCGTCCGTGTGACGCGTCCGTGAGGTGCGTCTGTGGGGCGCGTTCCGTCTCGCACTGCCTCTCCGTGTTTCCCCGCTCATTTCGTCAAGGAGCGTAAACCATCACACCAACTCCTGTCACCCTCGCAGCAGCAACAGCAGCGGCTCTCGGCTCGCGCGCTTTCGGATGCGCTCCTACGGCCGTCTGGAACGCTCTTCCTTTCCATGTTAGGAAGCCACTGGAGCTACGCACTTATAAATCCTCTCGATTGAAAACTCATTCCTGGTCAACTTCTTCTTCGGTTTAGTTTTGTTGTCCTTCCCCCCGCGCCTCGGTTGGTTCGGTACGGTGGTGTAAAAGAAGTTCAAAGTACGTACATACATAGGCCCCTGCTTGGGTGGTCACCTGCATGACCCCTGTCGTGTATATTTTTCATAAATGTTGACACGCACACGGGTTATCTCACCATACACACCCCGCCCACCTACGTATGACCCCCCACCCCCCCCACGGCGCGTCTGTGATGGTGATGTACGCCGATTTGCATTTGTCACATTTGACATGTATTAATAATGATAAAAAAAATATTTCCGGGTTTGCATTCCACGCACGATGCCGTTTAAACGCACCGGCATGCAGGACACCGTGTGCAAAGCCTTTTGTTCATCGCAAGGCTTATTCACATTCACAGGCCTTGTTAAATTGGGGCGCCATGGTGGCGTGATGTTAACTACCTTGCCTAGTATACAGGAGGTCGTGGGTTAAATCCCGATCCCGACGCCTGCTGTATATTTGGGGTTTGCATGTTCTCTCTCCCTGTGGTCACGTGGCTTTTTCTCTGGGTCCTTTGGTTTTCCCCTCCACATTTAGAATTGACCTCACACGTTTTAGAGTATTTGGCCGCCATGAATATCCACGTGATAAGCCACTTCGTTGAGCTCTCATTTCTAATACCCAAGTCTGTTCTGAAAAATAGTTAATATTGCTCAGTGGGCCTTACCTGGTCAAATATATATTAAAAAAATATAAATTGCAGCAGGTTCAAAACATCGATCACATTTGGCAACGTGTTACTTGTCCACACAATGCGACGGTGTAAAGGATGAGGCTGTTTCTAACGCTGGTGACTCATTGTAAATGCAACGACACACCTCACCGCCAGTTCAAGTCCAACATACACAAAAGTAATAAGAGGGTTTTTCCCCTTTTTTCTGGCTACAAAACTGAAACCTTTTGACAAGGATTCATGTCTGCATTAACCACAATACTTGCAGTCAAAATGCAAACAAAAAACACACTAAATGATAATATATGCATTGTCCTTGAAACTGATTGGTCCACACCAGGGGACGGCTTTCTTTTGAGCCTCGACACAATTGGTGCTCAAACAGAGGACACCAAAAGGCGTACATTTGTTAGCGTTTTGACTGCAAGTATTATGGTTAATGTAGACATGAATCCTTGTAAAATGGTTTCAGTTTTGTTGCCAGAAAAAAGGGGAAAACCCCTATTATTATATTTTGGTACTGGCAAAGGAGGTCTAATGATGTAGATACCCAAAAGTGTAAAGCGGCGAGCTAGCAACAAACAGCACTATCACGGTTGCAGTAGGTAAGGGTGTAGCGTGTTTCCTGGCTTGAGCAACGTGGGAAAGGAGATGATTGGAGGGAATTCCACAGCCGAGCAGTGCGGGAGAAGAATCGGAGAGATACGTGTGTTGACCTGCATTGTGTTGAGCCGATGAATGATTGAGTGTGTGTTGTTGTGACACGCAGTGTGGTGGTTCAACACTGTGTGGATGAGACAAAACGGTGCGTCTGGTAGATTGAGTCCTCAACATGAGTGGAGGAATCAATTAGTGTAGTTCACAGGCAAAGTAAGCATGGTGGTGGTAACGATATAAGAGTGATAGGGTGAGTGGGGGTGAGTGGGTGTTTTAATGTAGAGTGTGGTGGTTGAACCCAGTCTGGATGAGATTTAAGCAGTCGGTCGACGAGTCTGGCAGAGTGATTCCTGAAACGTTGAGGTTTCCCTTTCTCCACACCGGCTGAGTTTATTTCATTCTTTGCAATACCCTGAGATTGCCAACGCGATCATTCTGCCTCAACACGTCATATGGTTTGGCAATGGTTTCAGGGAGTCGCCGTAAACAGAAACTCGATGCAATGGTTGTTACTTCCAATAACTGTACATTTATTTTTCCATTTGTCTCTTTTTTTTTTTAGAATTGAATGTCTGTCGAAACAAGGTTGCTGTTCTGGAAAAAGATTTGGCCAAAGCCCAGAAGGTATAGTTCAAGCACCTTTCTTTAATAACAATAATAACCATCATTATTAAGCTCTTCACGGATTCTTTTTTTTCTGCAGTCCATATTAAAACGGGATGAGAGTTCCCTCTTCGGGGAGCGAGGGGGGGAGCGAGGGAGGGAGGGGGGGGGAGCGAGGGAGGGGGGAGCGGAGGAGCGAGGGAGGGGGGAGCGTGATAGGCACATTGTATCTTTCTCATAAAGAGGCAAATGTGGAGGGGGGTGGGTAGAGCAAATGCAAATTCCACTCAACTTCTCGGATTACATGGTGGCACATAATATGTTAAATAGTTTTGGGGACCCAGAGCACATTTCTGTCACAAACAGATGATTGCATGAGACTCCCAGCCATGCAGCTTGACCCGGGCCAGCCAGCCCACCATTTAGTTTCTTAATGATCGCGAGCAGAGAGGGACAGGAACCTGGACAGCTTGAAGAACGACTGAAAACCCCGTGGCCTCAGTGTGGTATCGTAGGATTTAGAGCAGGTCAGTGAAGCAGAGAATGTAGGTCGCGTTGAAATTAAACTAAACTTTAAATCCCCCACACCACTGCTGGAGCAGACGTCTGCCTCTGCCTGAAACCACTTTGGGGCTCTGCAAGCCTCTCCACACTTTGCCCTTGCACGCTTGGGACCTTTCCTGGCAAACGCTTGAGAGGGTTCATGCCCTGGTCGTCATTATAATCGGTGCAGTCCCCCAGAACCTCGTCTTCGGTTCGGGCAGTTATAATAGTGCACATGTAGGGCAGCCTGCGCACAATAACCATCCTCCCTCAGACATTTGTGCTGGAGGTCAATCCTGCCCTAGGTTCCAGATAAATTTGTTCCCGCCTCCCCGTACATGAGTGGCTGGCCATTCACAGGCGATGGCCACTTTCTCCAACCATTGAGGCTCTAAGTTGGTTATGGCGTCAGGCTCCCGCCAATGTAGTTTGGGCTTAGACCGGTCTCGTCCGGCTTGGATCGGTCTCGTCCGGCTTGGACCGGTCTCGGCCGGCTTGGACCGGTCTCGTCCGGCTTGGATCGGTTTCGTCCGGCTTGGACCGGTCTCGGCCGGCTTGGACCGGTCTCGGCCGGCTTGGACCGGCCTCGGCCGGCTTGGATCGGTCTCGTCCGGCTTGGACCGGTCTCGGCCGGCTTGGACCGGTCTCGTCCGGCTTGGACCGGTCTCGTCCGGCTTGGACCGGTCTCGTCCGGCTTGGACCGGTCTCGTCCGGCTTGGACCGGTCTCGTCCGGCTTGGACCGGTCTCGTCCGGCTTGGACCGGTCTCGTCCGGCTTGGACCGGTCTCGTCCGGCTTGGATTGGTCTCGGCCGGCTTGGACCGGTCTCGTCCGGCTTGGACCGGTCTCGGCCGGCTTGGACCGGTCTCGTCCGGCTTGGACCGGTCTCGTCCGGCTTGGATCGGTCTCGGCCGGCTTGGACCGGTCTCGGCCGGCTTGGACCGGTCTCGGCCGGCTTGCGAACCCCCACCACCAACAGTGGAGGAATGATAGGGTGCATCTTACAGGTGACAAAAAAGTCGTGGTTAATATAGAAGCTGGAGATGATTCTTTTTCCAGGGAGGAGATTTATTGAGAAGAGCTAAGGACCCTTTTGGGACACCACAGTGGCAAGGTGTTTGAGTGCTTTCAGAGGTAAAAGTTTAACCAAGAGAGTAGTGTGGTAGAGATGCCAACATAGTTTGGGAGGCGTTTGATCTGATTACATGTGCTCTTCGCGAGATATCGTATCCCCTTAAGGACCGATGTGCCATTAATATTATTGCACAACTTGTTAGATTTTTGCATGCATTGCATGTGCCTAAAATTCTGTTATAGAATACAATAATGCGTGTGCATCATGTGCAAATTGCTGCCAACCTCACAAGAATCCACCGTCTTTAAATTGCAAAACTTTGCTTCTTTGTTAACATTTGCATCGAATTTTGTTTGCGAGTACGCCGTTGCCCTGCATGATGAGATCGCGAGACTGTTTGACGCTAACTTTCGTCAAATTTGCTGCCGTTATTTTCCTTGTAGACGGTCGCCAAAAGCAAGAAAGCGCAAGTGAGTGTTGAAGTCGTTGTCGCCGGATGTTTTTTTTATTTTCATCGTTATAATATTGACAGGTCACTTGCAAACGACACGTATATCCGCGTCTCTTAAGTTCTCGCCTGGTTCAAGAAAATGAACGTGAAACTAGCCTGCGCTCATTCCCCTGCCGCCAATGGCGAAGCCAGGATTTTCAGGTAGTGGGGGGGGGGGCAACCCCTCCAGCAATGAAAAATGATAGAGGAGTTGTTAGTAAATAAGGAGTTGTTAATAAGTAAGGACTTGTCCTGTGCTTTTTATTCGACGCGTGTGCGGCGATGGCGCAGCCATCGATCGAGGGTCGAATTCGAACCGCGTTGTGCGATCGGCATCGCGCTCGCTGAAGGTGTTGATGCCTTCAGGGAAGTCGTGTGCTGTATAACGCAACTGCGCACAATTCTGTGAGTCGCTTATAACTCCCTTGCCGTTACTCATTGTCAATTATGGACTCGGACTATTGTCCTATCATCTCATAGAGTCTCTGGCATGTAATAATATGCTACACAGTGGCAGTGGGGGTTGCAAAATGCCGATTTATTACTAATACACCCCAATGATCCGATCGAAAATAGGGATTTCATTCCGATCATTGGGGGGGGGGGGCACGTGCCACCCCACCCCCCACTGTGCCTGCCGCCCTGTTGGCAAGGGAAACTACGGTGTGTGGGTGCGACACTTAACCGTCGTGTTTTGACGTGTTGGCTCCCGCCAGGAGGTGGAGGCCCTGCTCGGTGAGAATGAAATGTTGCAGGCGAAGCTGCGCAGTCAAGAGGAGGACTTTGGCATCCAAAACACCACGCTCATGCAGGAGCTGAACAAGGTTCGCATGCCCACGCGTGGCACCTGCAGACTCGAGTGGGTCGTCTCTCGTTTTGCCCGTAAAGTCAGGGGTTCGCTCGTTGTTGGTGACGTCACCGCCACCGAGCGGCGGCCGACCGATGTCGTGTTGATAGTTCATCAACAACGAGGGAACCGAGCTTTGAAGTTTTCGTGACTGCAAGGATTCATACTCTTTGTTTTTTTTTCGGTAAAGTCACGTAGGTAAAAAATAAATTAAATAAAATCGCGACGTTTCGGAGGCCAACACAAGCTTCCGTCTTTAGGTGGAACCGTCACAACAAGATTACTGTGTCAAGTGAAGAGAGCTCTAATTTAGTTGCTTTTTCATTTATTAATTTTTACCTACGTGACTTTACCGGAAAAACAAACATAGAGTATGAATCCTTGCAGTCACGAAAACTTCAAATCTCGGTTCTCTCGTTGTTGGTGAACTATCAACATGACATAGGTCGGCTGCCACTCGGTGGCGGTGACGTCACCACGGCGCTCGTGCCGTGCTAGGTGCACTTTGTTGATGCGCGCAAACACACGCGCGTGAAACCGCAGTAACTGTTACAGTAGCGTTTTGTTGCATGAATCGATGGGCTGTAATTTTGAACGCGTTCGTCAGTTAACACCGTTGCCTTAAAAGGGGGATCTTTTTTACGAATTGACTTAAATAAATACGAAAATAAGCTTTCTCTCTCGTCACTTTATCTCGTCGCTTTATCGCATCACTTTCTCACGTCACTTTCTCTCGCATCGCTTTATTCCATCGCTTTATCTTGTCACTATCTCATCACTCTCTCACTCGATGCAACAGTCATGTAGAGAGTTCCAGATGCTATTCGCGGATTAGCCAAAATCGCGGATAGCCACGAATAACGTGGGAATGCCCGTGCTCCGGTATGAAAAGAAAGGGGCGACTGTCTCGAGCTTGCGCCTGCGTGTCTGCCCGCCCCCCGGCCGTGCCCGGCGCAGCTGTGCTCTCAGCTGGAGCAGCTTGAAGAGGAGAAGCGCGCCGGGAAAGACGCCGTGGCTGGAGGGGCGGCCAGGGTGGCAGTGGCCGTGGACGGGGAGATCCGCCGGCTGCGGGCGGAGAACGCCGCCCTTCTCAAGAACATCGCGGGTACACGACGGCCCCCTCGCTTGCTCCCGGGATGGGAGAATATCCACGGCGCAAATGACGTTTTGCACGGCGTCTCCAGCAGGGTTTACCCCAAACTCCCGTCCCAGCCACCCACCCACCATCATGCGTCGTCGTTCTCGCGTTTGTCGATTTTACTCCTCCCCGTTAAAATGTAAATTAACTCGTTCCGCGCTGCACGTGTCGGATGATTGTCATCGAAAACCCATTCCCGTTTACGATGACGTACGTGTACATCATCAGTTTTTCTTCCGATTCCTTTCTGATGACGTACGTGTACATCATCAAAACTTAACCGGAAGAAAAAATAAAATAACTTTACCGAGGCTCCCACAAGGCCATGCGGGAGGGGCGTGTGGCACAGTTTGGCACCAGCGGTCATGTCGCTACAGTTCTCTGCCGTGAGTAGTGTCTTTAAAAACAACGGCGCTACTGTACCTCTCTAAATAAATGTAACGCTAATCGCTTGCGTGTTCCGAGATTCAGAGGTGAACAGGACACCCACCCTGCAATTGGCAGACGTCTCGGACTGGAAAAGGGTTAAACTATTAAAACTATTAAAGTATTTTTTTATTTTTCCAGGAAAGGCCCACTGAGCTATGTAGCTCTTTTTCAGAAGCGACCCGGCCACAAATGATAGCTCAATGAAGTGGCTTGTCGCGTGGAAATGTATCGCAATCAAATACTCTAAACGCACCTCCGATTAACACGGTTGGCTACATACGATGCGAAAGAAGTTCAATGTACATACATGGTTCTAAATGTGGAGGGAAAAACCGGAGTACCCGGAGGAAAATCCACGCAATCACGAGGAGAGAGACACGCAAACTCCAAATATACAGGCGGCAGGGTCGGGATCGAACCCACGAGCCTCTGCCCACCAGGTGAGGGAGTTAACATCTCGCCACCACGTGACGCGCAAAGCAAATCGAGCTGTATGCTTCACGTGGAACACGCGCGCGCACACTCAGATTTCAAACTTCATTTGAATCAGCTCTGTTAACGCGGACGGCGTTGTTTGCTTAGCGGTGGTGGCGATGTATGATGCCAATTGGGCGGGCAAAGCACAGCAAGCTGGCATGCTCATCTCGGTTCACCCATAACAACTGGGCCTGTCACGTGACCTGCCAGTGCAAGCCAGAGGTCGCAACCGGGTACCCGATACCCGTACCCTACCCGATACCCAGCTACCCGTACCCAGCCGGGTACGGGTATGGGTACCCGTTTGCGACCCTGGTGCGGCCGGGTACGGGTAGGCCGTGAGTCACTGGTGAGTAACTGTTTGTCACTCATTTCCCAACGTCTTGTCTCTTCTCACAATTCAAGTTCCTAGAATCAACCCACCCGCGCCTGCAACATGGCTTCATCCCAGAGGTCGCAATCAGGTACCCGATACCCGTACCCTACCCGTACCCAGCTGGGTATGGGTAGGGTACGGGTACGGCCGGGTACGGGTACGGGTACCCGTTTGCGACCCTGGTATGGCCGAGTACGGGTAAGGAATCAAAACCCGTTTGCGACCTCTGGTGCAAGCCTTGGACGCTTCGCGCGGCTCGAAGATTGCATCTAGCCTGGCACAAGCGCCGTGTGGCGATGTCACCGCCACATTATTGGGTGCGCCTTTGAAAGAGCAGTGGCACAGTGGTTTATGGAAGGCTACGGTGGAGGCTGTATCTGAACTCGTGTCGCATCTTCTCTCGGGGTGAAGTCCACCTTCAGTGAATCACTGGTACAGTGCGCCCACGTTAGCCCCGGGGAGACGAGAGGTGACTCGGTGTGGGGTTGGCCACACGTTACCTTGATGTGTACGGACCGCACGTGCGTTGATTGTAGTCATGGATTTGGGGAACATTTGATCTTGTGCTATCGAACACGTGGTGTCCGATTCGCACAGTTGGCTACGTGCGGTGCGAAAGAAGTTCAACATACATCAATACGTCTCTGTGAACGACGAGTCTGACGTAACGATGAGCAAAATAGTTCAGCAGACATTTACATTTCTTTCGTGTCTTTGGTACACGTAATATATGTTTTATATATTCTTTCGACACAACCTGGCATTGCAAGGAAACTCTGGACCGGTTGCAACATACAGGCTTGCTTGAATCCATGCTGCTGAACTCACAGACAGCAAGGACCCTTTAAGACATTGATCGATTCAAAATCATATCCAGTGATGTATAACGCATCAACAAACTAATGTTTGTGTGTGCGTTGTGTGTTTTTTGGTGCTCGCTTAAACAGCACTTGCCCCAACAGTCTGTTACGGCTATACGGCAAGTCTTTGTCTCTGCGTGTGTTTTTTCCGCGCAGCGTTGCAAGATAAGCACATTCACGATTTGGAGAAACTCGGGGAGAGCCACGCGAGCGTCAATCCGGCGGAGGAGAGCGACGAGGCAGACGGGCAGGTGGTGAAACGCGACTGGACGCTGGACGACGGTGGCACCGATGGAGACTCCGACGATGTCGCCAAGCAGGTGGCACCCCCCCCCCCCCCGCCATGGCCCGACCTCACGGCACGGGATGTAACAACGCCTAGTTCGCTCGCAACCGATTTGACGATCGATAATTTTATTTTCTGAGTCGGATCGTCGCTCGAGTGGATCGAATCACTCGCCGGTCACTCTGGTGGTGCTGCTGAAGCGGCAATGCAGTGGCACGTTCGATCGTCGCGTGACAGCTTGGCTGATTTGGCCGTGCCGGGTGGCGGAGGGGTGTGACGACACACGGTTGGTGTTTTACTCGAGGCGGCGATCTGAACACAAAAATGTGCAATGAATCGCGGCACGAGCTTCACTGCTCCCAGCCTTGTGCTCTCTCCCCCTCTGCTCTGAATGAACTCTTTGGCTGCGTTGCTGCAGGAGGGTAGAAGGATCCACTCGATAGTTGGAGTGATCTCCTTGCCCAAACGAGCATTCAAGGCAGCGCAAGTCTCGTTGATTGCTCGGCCGACTCAGGGCTCTAATGACCACCTGGTGCAGTGTGTAGTAAACGTCGTCACACGGGGGGGACAAAGGCGGCTGGGCGTGGTGCTGGCCGCCCACCCCGTCGTGTGCCTTGCCGGACTTCATAGACGCCGCTCGCTAACAGCGCTTGCCCCAACAACCTGCGTAGGCTAAACGGAGGATCTTTGTCTTTATACGTGTATGTAAGTCCCGTAACGCTTGGGGCTGTCCCGTGACCTCCTGTCGGCGAGCCCTCGACACTTGCACGTGATCGTCTCAAGGTGCATCTAGCCTAGCACAAGCGCTGTGCTGACGTCACCACTGCTTGGTGGCGAATGGCGGCTGTCGTTGTTATGTAAGGTGCATGACACGGGGAGTTTGCCAATCGACATTTATTTTTATTTGTTTACAGCTGCAGAGAAGGGTGTCGAATCTGGAAGCCCAGCTAAAAGAGTTTAATGGTACGTACCTATTGCTTGTGATTATAAAAATATCCATGTTTTGAGCTGATATTATTATTTTGAAGATGTATGGGACATTTGCAAGGCAATGCTTGTGATGTTGTGCAGACCTGCAGCTGAAATTCGCTACAGAGAAAGAGGAAAATGAACTGCTCAAGGACCAAATCCAGGCAATGATGGTAAAACATGTTTTTTAATCCATTGAGCATCACCGTGTGCGGCGTTTCATTTACGTTCACAGCGATGGTTTGGCGTGCACATGTGTGACGGTGTTGCACATCAAGGGCAACGCCGTGTACGTGATCCTTACCGGACATCTGTGAAAAGAGCTTCATGGCTCATCGGATTCCTCCGGTCTAAATAAATATTCTCTTTCTGATTTGGCAGCTTTCAAAGGAGAAGGACTTTGCCCAAATGCAGGAAGACATTTCCAAGGTGGGTACTATTCTTGAAATTTGCCACCCATAATTCGGGTACGATTATGACCATATCACCCGCAATGCACCCTGAGTGTCCAGGTCATCGTCAATGACCAATGACAACACTCCTTCGTGTCGGTTCGTCAACACTGAAGGTCACCTGACCTGCGCCACACACCCCCGATTGGCCAGGTTCGAAATTCCTGCCAAACGATTGACCAATCGGGTGCGCTCAATTCAGATGGCGGGAGGGACGCTGGTGTGAAGTGGGAAATGTAATGTTTTTTGATTGGGTAGCTCCTTATTCGAAGGAGGAAGTGTAAATGATTTTGTTTATCCTAAACTTAAGGGTGTTGTTAATTCATGCAAATTTTCAGGTGTAAATTTTGTCCTTCACTTTTTGGCCTTGTGTTTTTTTCAGTCATTATTTGCACTCCCATCTGCAGCGTAGTTTTCTAATGCCACGCGGTCTGTTGAATATCTCTAAATCGCCTCAAGCCTGCCGTAAATCACGTGGCTTCTGCTGTGTGTCCAACCCCCATTGTGAACCTCTCCCCTCTACCCCCCCCCCCCCGTGTCGACAGACACTTTCCTGTGCAGCGTCGAGACCCTTTTATAGCCTCTTCCTGTCATCTTCCCAAGCCCCTTTGCTCCCGTTTTTCAGTTCCCTTTTCCATCATTTTACACTTCTTCATCACCATTTCTCGTCTCTCTTCTCTTTTCCTCTGTTCCATTTTTATTTTCCCCGCGTGTAATATCCTTGGCTCATCCCGCCCTTCGCGTGGTGTGAAAAAGTTTGCTCGTGAAACGCTTGTGGCGCAAATGTGAAGTGCCTGACAGTGGCACTTTGTTAAGCATTGTCGTACATTTTGATCCGGTCCATTTTGTGCTCGGTTTAGGGCTCTTTACCAGCAAACCGGGTGTTTTGTGCAAAACGATTTTAAACGTTGCGTCTGTTTTGTGTATTCGAAGGTCACGGATAAATTAAAAAAGAAACAAGAAAGGTAATGGTCAACAGCTCCACACTCAGACACGACACAGATAAGAGAGTGAAACTCAACCGAGAGCCCGTACGCATTATGTCTCGAGCCAGTCCCGCTCCGATTCGTTTGACGAGTGTGGATTGTGGTGACACATTTCCTCCTTGTGCCGCTGGATCTCACTCGTCTGTAAATGTCTTTGCTGTTGACTTTCTTCCGTTTGCAGCCTCCTGCAACTGCAAAGTGAGAAGGAGTCTTTGTACACGGAGAGCAGGTACGTGCTTTCACTTGCGGCGTGATTTGTGAAATTCAAACAACTCGTTTGGTGATCCTGCGTTGGTAGTTGGGGCACACAAAGAGCACGTTTGACAAACTAACAAACTCAACCCATTCGTCAATAACAACAGTGTGTGGCCGCAAACTAAAATATGAACACGGTAAAACCTCGATACACGTACATTCAATAAACGAAGTTTCTGTCTCGTGAACTTTCGATTGTTTTACCATTGCTTTACGCAAAAAGCTAGAAATAAAGTCAAATAATACATGGACTGACACGCACAAATAAATAATAAATTGGTGGATCTATGGTGCTATATAAATAGGAATATAATGCGTCATTACGTGTATTTTATTTATGTCAGTTGGAATACTGCACAGCATAAAATAAAACATTATTTTCACTATAAATTTTCTTTGTTTACAATATAAAAAGTTCTGAAGTGTTTATAGTATGAAATGATACGTTACGAAGGCTGAGGAACGCATCCTCACACTCCAACATGCGGGAATCGTCACCGTAAAAAACGGCAGTTTGATTGATGCGTCGCTGCAAGCCGATAAATGATAACTCTCGTTTGGGAAGAGATTTTGTTAAACTTTGGACGAAAATCACCACTTTGTTTTCAAACAGATCAAAACTTGAAGAAGTCCAAAGGAGGAAAGAGGAAGAAATCGGTGACTTAAATGTAAAAATGCAGAAGGTGCAGAACGAGCTGAAGAAAGCCATGCAGGTAATTTGTGTGCTTTAGATGTCAAATCACCACCCAGTCGGATCCACAGTTAAAATAAATGACCGCCACTCTCAATCCGCTCATGGATCAAGGCCCCTCCCCACGTCATGTTGGCCACGAGGAGGGGAAGGGTTTGACCATACTTCTCCCACGGTGGTCGGTGCCGCTCGATGAAGGGGCGAAGGGTAGGAACATCTCTGATGTCACTCGCCACTGATTATTCAGCTGGCCCTGGGGAATCGAACTGGGGTCCAGCGGTTCGTAGCGCAGTGCACGCACCGCTGTGCATGCCATTGCAACCCCCGTAAATCCATAGCTGTCAACCCGTTATCAGTGCCGCCCTTGTTACAGACCAATTCAGACCTTATTGGTCACCCCGTGCCAGAGGTCGCAAACGGGTTTTGATTCCTTACCCGTACCCGGACGCACCAGGGTCGCAAACGGGTACCCGTACCCGAAACCCTACCCGATACCCGGCTACCCGTACCCGGCCGGATAACGGGTAGGATACGGGTACGGGTGCCCGATTGCGACCTCTGGGATGAAGCCATGTTGCATGCGCGGGTGGGTTGATTCTAGGAACTTGAATTGTGAGAAGAGACAAGACGTTGGGAAATGAGTGACAAACGGTGACTCACCAGTGACTCACGGCCTACCCGTACCCGTACCCGGCCGCACCAGGATCGCAAACGGGTGCCCTGCCGGGTACGGGTAGCCGGGTATCAGGTAGGGTACGGGTATCGGGTACCCGATTGCAACCTCTGCCCCGTGCCCTTATAAATCTCAACGTTCATCCTACATAGTCCCATCACAAGGGAGAAACACAAATAAATAAAAAGTGTCTTTGCCTGTATTGAAACGGCTGTACGCCGTATGGACTTCAAAACTCAATTTCCCTGCACAAGAATATGGGGTAAACTGTTTGGGTTGACGGCTATGCAAATAAATGTCATCTTTCACTCGAAGCGAATCCTCTGCCCGTGTACGTAACCCTCTTAGGATGTCGGCGAGCTGAAGGAGCAGTTGAAGAAGCAGCGGCAAGAACGCGACGAGGCGCTGAAGGCAAAGGGCGACGAGGTGAGAGGAGCTCTCCGTGTGTCTTAGTCCTCTTCGTGAAAACTTGGGCAGAAGCCTCCCGCAAAAATGGTCGCGACACTTGATTGAGGCTTTGCCGGGTAAAGCAAGCGCAAAAAAAAGATGAGAATATCCCTCTGCGTCGACAGTGCTGGCTTGTACGTGGTTGCGGGCATGATTCGTCTCGGCGGTGTTGCATTCGGAGTCGTAGTGACGTGGTTGCTCCCTGTGATGCGAAACATCGTTTACCGCGGACAAAATGACAACAGTCGTCTGCCAAAGTGTTTTCCCCTTCTTGGTTCTTTAGGTAAAGTCACGTAGAAGGAAGCAATAAAATAATAAAAATAAAACATAATAAAATAATTCTCACGACGTTTCGGCCACAACGCAAGCAGCCGTCCTCAGGTGAAAACCGCTGTCGCCTCGACAGACCTGGTCTCCACCTGAGGACGGCTGCTTGCGTTGTGGGCGAAACGTCGTGAGAATTATTTTATTATGTTTTATTTTTATTATTTTATTGCTTCCCTTCTACGTGACTTTACCGAAAGAACCAAGAAGATGAATCCCTGCAGTCACGAAAGCTTTAAATCGAAATGTTTTCCCCTTGCAAAAATGTTTTTATTCTGGGTGGAGAATCTGCTACGTGCACCCTGCCCCCTCCCCCGTTGTTGCTGTTGCTTACGTTGGTTTCTGTTTCGGCAGAATGCGACTCAGATTGCGCAGAAGGAGGAGCAGATGGGAAAGATCCGCGGGGAGAATGAGGCCTTGCGCACAAGCCTGGCGGCACTCGAGCAGGTTTTCTTTCGCACCTCAATTCTTTCTGGCAGATTTGTATCTTTTGTCAACACCCTATAAGGACAAAATGTGCGGTTACTAAACTAATTTAAACTTTTTGTTTTACGAGGTAAGGCCCACTGAGTTATATAGCTCAGAAGCGACCTGGCCACAAATTCTAGCTCAACGGAAGTGGCTTATCACGTGGAAGTTTATAGCAACCAAATACTCTAAACGCACGTTGATTCTTAATGTGGAGGGGAGAAAGATCCACGCGTCCACAGGGAGAGACACGCAAACTCCAAACATAAAGTTGAATTGTGGACGTTGTTTTCGGTGTGCTTGTATACATTTTTAGAACGTTAGAGAAGAGACGTGCTGTAAAAATCGCGTTCAATTCCGAAGTTTCCCTCCCGCTTGCTTCATGAGGAACGCTGGCGGACAGTGCGGATGTCCTGAATAAACACCTTATTGACAACCCAAATATCACCACACATCACCTCACCTTATCGCTTTGACATTCCTTATCCTCGATGACTTCTGGTGGTGGAACCATCAACCTCATGAGAACATCAACAGGCCGATGCGTCACATCTCCTTCGTAAACGGAACATTAAAGACCCAGCCACAGTTGTGCGATTGTGGACATGCAACCCATAATTAATGGACCGTTATTGTAAATAAACTACCGGAGCCTGCGCTCCTCCAACAGAGGAGGTATAGCAAAACGACACAAGCTCTCTCCTGAAGCTCTCTCATCGTGACCAGCAGACCTCAACATTGCCACATAGCTCCTGAATTTATTGCCAAACGCATGATTAGAATAGAATAATATTTTTTCATCATCATCATCAACTATGGTTAGTTGACTGCGCTGGATAAAGGCCTCACCACCCAATAAATATAGAGCAGCACATCCCTCCCATTTGGGTTTGTGGCTTCTTCCTTGCCGTCTCTCGCACATCCACGGTTTGAGTGAACGTTTCACCAAAGCCTGACCGAGTTGTGGTGGGTGACTAAACACGCCCGCTGTCTGCAATACACCCCTCATCTCAAACTCCGCAGGTCACCGTTTGGAATTTGAGCGGTTGCCCTTCACGCAGCGGTGATATGTAGGCGGTTGTGTTTTTGTTGCGCTGTTGGGGGAAAAGTACGAGTGAGCGTGCTTCGAGTAGTCTTTCTCTCGATTGTAGATTCAAACGACAAGAACGGTGGAGATCAATCTTTTGAAAGAACAAAATATGAGCTTGACGGAAGAAGTCCACCAGCTTCAACTGCTGAAGAGTAATCTGGTGTCTGAGAGGGAATCTCTGACATCGCAGTACCAGGTATGCGTCTTCTGCATCTCGTGGTGGTTGCGCTTTGTGTCCTGTCTTGGGCCACCATGTATACAATATATTTTTAATGACTGTCTTTGTGAACAGTATCTAATAGCATGGGACTAACATATGCGTCATCAATGTGTCCTAGCTTTTGGGCCACCCTGTATATTTATATTATTAATGACCGTGTTTCTGAACCGCGTGTAATGGCATGGGACGAATATGCATGATCGATGTGTCCTGAATTTATGGCCACCCTGTATCAGAGGTCACAAACGGGTTTTGATTCCTTACCCGTACCCGTACCTGGCCGCACCAGGGTTGCAAACGGGTACCCGTACCCGTACCCGACCGTACCCGTACCCTACCCGTACCCAGCCGGGTATGGGTAGGGTACGGGTAGGGTACGGGTATCGGGTACCTGATTGCGACCTCTGGGATGAAGCCATGTTGCAGGCGCGGGTGGGTTGATTCTAGGAACTTGAATTGTGAGAAGAGACAAGACGTTGGGAAATGAGTGACAAACAGTTACTCACCAGTGACTCACGGTCTACCCGTACCCGTACCCGGCCGCACCAGGGTCGCAAACGGGTACCCGTACCCGTACCCGTACCCGGCCGGGTACGGGTAGCCGGGTATCGGGTAGGGTACGGGTATCGGGTACCCGGTTGCGACCTCTGCCCTGTATTTAACATGTCTCGTGAGCGTTGCGGTTCGTTGACCAGACGTTTATGTTTGCGCGCACGCACGCGTTGCGGTTTGCTTGCGGCCTAGGAGGCAGCGCGTGAGAAGGCCCGCACGCACGATCGGCTGCAGGAGCTGTCCGCGGAAAAAGTCGGTTTGCAAGCAGACTTGGAGGAGGCCAACAAGGTGAATGCCTCGTTCGCGCGAGCGTGACGTTTGGAATTGCCGCCGGGATCCGTAACGCCTGTAGAATTGCATTCATCAAGAGCGATGTACATTACTGCGATTACGATAATAGTAAAAACACGTGAAGAGAGAGCATTTCCAGTGGCGTTAAAGAGCATACATGTACTCCATTTTACGACATTTAATATGCTACTGTTTCGTTACGATGACTTTACACAGCACTCCATGCGTTTGTGTGTGTGTGTGTGTGAAGCATTGCACTCATTTCTCCCATGAGTCTAGGGGCCTTGCTCACAGTCCAACCTGGGGTCACAAACTCCAGTTACTAATACGCACCACGGGACGTGTCGACCGTGGGCAAGAAATCGTCCCCTTAGCGCTGACCGTTTCACATGCACCGCTTTCGATTTGTTTTCACATTCCCAAAGTGCTTGGTATCGCGTTCGCTACTTTTCTTCCAAAGCGATGCCCCCCGTCAAGCGTGCTATGGCGCACCCCGTTTAAAGCTACCACGGCAAACCTGCCGTCGTACAGGTTTCCGATCGAGAGGTAAAACGCGTCAAGAAAAGTCCCCCACCCTGTTAGCAATCGCCGCCATGGTCGGGTGCCGACAACGCCACTTTCAGGCCAAGGGCTCTCTACAAGATGGTCTGCGTTTGTTGAACGCGTGACGGTGCAGCTCGCCGTGAAGAGGAAGTCGATGCTGGACGCGTTGGCAATCGAGACGCAGCAGGAGAAGGGCCGGCACAAGGAAGCGCTGTCCACCATGCAGCTCGCGCACGACAAGGAGGTGCTGGGGGTGCGCGCCCGCTACGAGCGCGAGCTGCGCGAGCTGCACGAGGAGATGGTCCGCTCGGCCGACGAGCTGCGTGCCCAGCTAAAAGATGAGAAGGTGAGCCGGACTGGGGGGGGGTGGGGTGATGGGGTCGGTGGGGGGGGGCGGCGATCGACTTGCTGCAGTCGGTCGTCCCGGCTGCTGCCTTGCGCTTTGCGTAACACGTATCGTGTCGGTGACGCACCTCCGTGTGTCACGGTTGGCTACGTACGGTGCGAAAGAAGTTCAACCTACATTGGTTAGTTTGTTGTCCTTCCCCCGCACTTCCGATTAACACGGTTGGCTACGTACGGTGCGAAAGAAGTTCACACGTGCATACGTTTCCGGTTTGTGTCGGCATCAGGATAAGGGTTGTTGGTGTTGCGTTCTGTGTCTAAACGAATCCACAAAACCGCCGTACCTATGAATCCTACTTTTAGTCTCTGTCCGCGCGTTCCCATTATCCACGCGCACGACGGACTCGCTGACCTCTTGTCGTTGGGCAGCAGGTGGACGTGTTTTGTGCCGCCGTGTTGGTTACTCGACAGCGTCGATAAACTCACTGTCGCCGAGAACCCCAGCTCGGCAGCGAGCGGTTGCTGAGATTTGAACCCCCGGATCTCGGCGGTTCCGGCTCAGCACACGAACCTCTGAAGCCACCCGGCGCCACCACTGCTCACGCTTAAGTTGTGGGGGGGGCACCCTGAGCTTTCATTGTCGTGATTCTCTAGGGTGGCCAGCATTCTCCTCTGGGTACACACCCGCCCTTTTCCACTGGCACATCCGAGCCGAAGCAGCAAGGGGCCCTCACCGTTACGGGTGGTTTTCCACCGGCTTTTTGCCGTGCCGAGCCCAAATCAAACCGTGATACGCCGGCCTCACGAGAGGCACCCGGCGTCTGGCTCGTCCTCGCCGAGCGGATCCGTGAACGTTAGCGACGCGTTCATCTGCGCGCGCGACGTTCCGTGCACGCGCGTATCGACTCGTGCGTTGCTCGTGACGTCGGCAGCACGGCTCCGCCCCTTTGCGGTGAGAAATCGGCCGGCCCATCCTGACCTGCGCTGGGCTGGATCGGCACAGCCCCGGCACTGTTGCATGGTTGCACGGTGGAAAGTGGGTTTAGTCGGCTCCTCTGCGTCGAGTAGCTGTCCTGTACCAGCGGGATTCGTATCGGTGAGCTTTGTTTTTGCTTTAAAACACAATCATATCAGGGGATGTTAAACGTTCGCTGTGAAGCCTACGCCGTGTATTTTTTTCTGGTTATTACGCCGCAGTATTAAGCAGGGCCGCCACTTTGGGCGCAAACCGCGAGCCTCTTGCAAAGAGCGGCGAATGCGCCTGACTCCGTTGGGCAGTGTCGCCGGCGCCGCGGGCGTTGTTGGCGATGTTGGCGAGCGCGCCCGTCGTAAAACGCGTCTTCTCTCGCGCGGGACGGTTTCTTTCAGATGAAGACAAAGGAGTTGGAGGGACTGAAGGAGATGGCCAACGGCCTCCAAAGCCAAATAGCGGGTTTGGAGAGTTCGAAGGGCTGGTACGAGAGACGTCTCCAGGACGCGGAGGTAAGAAGTCTCCTTCATTGGTCATCCTCGTCGAGAGCGGGCGAACACCGTGCCTGTTCATTCGAGATGTGAAGCTTTCGTGACTGCAAGGATTCATACTTTTTGGTTTTTTCGGTAAAGTCACGTAGGTGAAAAATAAATAAAATAAAATAAATGAAAACAACTAAATTAAATCACGACGTTTCGGGCGCAACACAAGCGTCCTTCTTCAGGTGGGACAACGTCGCGAAAGCACAACCGCTTAAGTTGTTGTCGCGGCATCTCTTGAGGAAAACAAAACTAAGACGATGAATCCTTGCAGTCGCAAAAGCTTCAAATCTAGAATTAATGCCCTCTACGGGGAGGATTTCCACTTATCTGTTTGAGTTTTTAACAGACGACGAGACAGGAAGTCGCAGCTTATCGAGACGCTAACCTTCCTCAAACTCTGCACCGGTTTCGCCATTGATTGTCTCATCAGCAGAGGCCTTGCTTGAGCCAGTGCTGGTGAACTGTCATGAAGTGATCTTCTTTTTAAATCCTTTATATTAAGTTCGCTTGCTTGCTTGCTTGCTTACGACCGTGCAAATCTTTCGTTCGTTTTTTAACCCACTTCCCGTGATCCAATCGAGCTGACATTTTGCACACAGACTCGTTGTGCGTGACAATTTATTTTCGTGAAAATTTTTTCCCAAAATTTTACACTGTTTAGGGAAAACAAATTAAATATTTAATTACCAATTGTTTAATACTAGCAGACAATCATCTGACCCATAGGTGGCAGCCATCTCAAGCCAGAGGACGAGAGGACTCTAGCCGCCACGCATATAAAGGATTTATAGTGAAAAACTTTGTTTTTACGGGTTATACTTGTTCTCTCTCCTTTCTCTCTCGTTAGATCCGTGCTCTCGCTTCTGCTACGACCCACGCGGTTTCCACACTCGTAACAAAAATTCTCAACTCCTGTTTATTGTCCTGCACCCGCCAGGAGCTGGCGAAGAAGAACCTCGATGAGCATCAGGGTCGCATCCAGCAGCTGCAGGAGCAGCACCGGCTGGATTCCCAAGTAACGAGCGCACCGCTCGCCCTCCGCCACTTGCACGCTGTGCCACCCTGCACACAGCTGTACACCGGCCGGCACACGAACGGCACACCTTCAATCCCTTTACTAGCGGACGATGTTTAGGAATCGCTTGGATTGATCTAACGCCACCGCCACGCCGCGCCGTCACGCACGACGCGATGACGGGTTCCGCACGAGGGCGATTGTAGCAGGTGCACCACATTTTTGGAACATGTTGTCTGGCGATGCTGCCCGCCGCCGCCGCTGCTGCTGCTGCTAACAGTGGAACTCGAGGCACAATTGAACAAAAACGCTCCCCCGACGCATTCGTCAATGACGCCGTGCGTGGCCCTTAAAAGGAACAAAAATATTGTCGGCGACGTTTTCTTGGGCGATGAGCATCGGTGTCCGGCACGTGCGCTGCAACTAGCACCAAAACGCGGATTTGCTCTCCTGCAGCGCGCCGGTGTGCTGAAGCAGCGATAAATCGGCCGCGTTTTGTTCGTCACGTGACAGCTTTATTCGATGGCTGCCTCGGGCACAGGATTGTGCACCGACGCACGTTTTGCTTCCACCGGCGGTTGGCAAAGCCCTACGCGTCACGTTGGAGCGGGTATCACGCTCGAGTCATGTGACCTTCGCATGAGAGCGTGCGTATAAAAGTGTCTGAATTCGGATGTCAAAAGCGTATCCGAAGGTGCATTAATTCACCGTGTGGCCTTGTTTATTTTTTCGTCACAGAAAAAAATGGAAGAGGCGGTTCATCTCAAGCAAGAGTTGGAGAACATGGTGCAGCGAGAGGCGGAACTGAAGCAAGAAATCGAGCATTTGAAGCAGGTTGGTGAAGTTGAGCTCTACGTTGAAACGGAGGGCGCCGTGGGTTTACCGAAAGGCCTCCGATGCACCACCGAGTCTTCGTTGTGCGGTCGAGTTGGGGGGGGGTGCAATCGATCGCCCGGGCTGAAACACTGCGCGGACGCGGGTGCGTTGCACTGCTTCAAAAGCACGGTGCGAGTCGGAAAAGCTCGAGACACGCAATGCATGTACACACGCAGAGTTGCATATGTAAACATTTATGTTTTATTTTTATTATTTTATTATTTCCCTTCTATGTGACTTTACCGAAATAATGTTTAAGCACCCTGTATAGGGATGGCAGGGCCGTATTGAGCAACCGCTGCAGCATTTGCGATCTTAGATTAGCGTTTTATTCTGCTGTCCACCGTCCAAAACATGTACCTGCAGCCTCGTTTGTAATTTACAACATTTCCCTTGTCCGATGCTTTCCGCTTATGCGAATTGTGCTCGGCCTTCGTTGAAATTGTAAAACTGTGCCTCGGGTGCCGTGATGTGTTCTTTTTTGTTGTTGTTTTTGACAGGAGCTGAAGGATGTTGTTGACCAGCAGAGGATCGTCGAGAAAAAGGGAAGCGCTGCGGTAAGTGCCAAAGAAGCAGCTGCTCTGGCTCACTCCTTCAGAGACGCTTTTCATCGAGGACCTCAAAGCGCCGTACAGGACACAGCAGCAGCAGAAGACACTCGGCACGAGAATAATGATACGATAAATACATTTACGAAATTAACTAAAAGTATAATAAGCGGAAGTGTATTAATAGGTTTTGTAAAGTTTGTTTATCTTATTATTATTTCACAAGTACGTAGCCCCGCTTCTGAATTGCGCATCTGTAACTTTATAAGCGGCACGTGGGTAATCATTACTGCCGTGTTTCTAAATAATATAGTTTACAACGTTGCTGGTGAATCACGATGCCCGAGAGCGTCTCTGGCGATGATCGCATTAGGTGACGATGTCTTGTGGGTTCTTTTTTCTTCTTCCCTTTGCACGCTCGCTCAGCTCAAGGATCTGAAGAGGCAGCTGCAGCTGGAGCGGAAGAGGGCGGATCGGGTGCAGGAGAGACTGCAGGATTTCTTAACCAACAGCAAAATGCGCGCAGGTAATCGTCGTCGTATGTTCGAGATCGTGACGGATAGAAATTCGGTACAAATACCGCTGAATCTGCGCTGTCTCGGTGTACTGCAGGTGATGTAGCTGATCGGGGAAGACTGTTTCCTCGCGGAAGCAAAATAACATTTCACTTTTAACACTGGTGGGCTACAGAAGTGAATTATTTTGTCCTTTGTAAACGTGACACATGTTTTACTGTTTGGCCGTGCCGGGTGGTGGAGGGTTACGACACATTTATAAATAACGCGATCTAACCCAAAAACCTTTATTATGAATAATATTGGTCGCGAAAGCCTGCTACGTGTTAAACTGACGTAGGTTTTGGCTGCCCTGCATTATTATTGCGAGTCCTAATAGAGTTTTGGGTTTTGCCACGTAACGATCTGGCCAAATCTGTGTCATAAGAAGCCTCCGCCAGCCGATGCGACCAAACAAGGAAAATTTTCAGGTGGTGTAGGCGCGTTTAACAGCGCTCCAATTACTGTCGTTTGAGCCTCACCGGGCGAATTGAAGAACAGTTCTCATGAGTAACGATTGAGGTCAATCACGACAAATCCGTAACATTTGCTCCATTTAACCAAAATATATTCCAGTTGCTTTTAATGAGGCAAAACTCGAGGCAGACTTCACCGAGCGTGCCGTGTGCAGAGTATGCCTCGTGAAATGAAAGCTGCTGCGTGGTGCGAAATTTCAGGTGACAAAGTATAGCGGCAAGCTCGAAGTATAGCGGCAAGCTCGAATCAATGATGATGTTCTGCCCGGCCAGAGGAAACTTAAGCAGTGCTTTCATACACTCTGCTGCTTCAGCACAATTTGTACCCCCCTCCTCTCACTATGAGCCAACAGCTCCCATGCTAAACATCAGGCCACTGTCGTACACACGTGCGATTCGGAACTACGTTCAGTACGGCTTTTTGCCGTCAGGATACAATCTGGGACCGTTCAATTCGGCATCCACAGTACCCGGCGGACGAAGAGAAGGACCCAGACGTTTGGTCACGTGACCGGGCGGTTCGCGCGCATGCTACTTGTTGCAGCAGTTTGTAAATACCCGCCGTCCGCTGCACAGTGGACGTTTCAAGATCGCGTGACGTCGTGCGAAAGGCCGTCATCGCCTGGTCCTCCTCCACTTGTCGTTGAAATTTGTCTGCAAATTTTCCTCGGTTGGGATTCTACACGGATAGCAGCAACGGCAGCATCGCCACCCGCCGTGAAACTACGGCCGGCTGTCGGTTGCTGGCCGCTTGACGTTTTGGGCCTTTCGGGGGGGGCCTTGCGCTCAACAATTTTGTCAAACTCTTTGGTTCTTTCGGATAAAGTCACGTAGGTAGAAATAAAATATAATATATATTATGGATTCCTGCAGTCACGAAAGCTTCAAATCAACTTTGTCAAAATGGCACGATTTTATTGCAATCAAATATCCGGTGAATATTGCGCACGTAGGCTTTCGCGACCAATATTATTCACAATGTTTTTGGGTTAGATCGCGTAAATATTGATGTCGTTAAAACCTGCCACCAACTGACACAGCCAATTAGTAAGGTTTGTCACAAATGCAGTCAGGCCCCGTGCTGACCACACAACCGCATTGTGTTTTTACAGCCTTAATACAAGCTCGCTAACAGGACAAAATGTGCCAGTTAGTATTTCAGCACACCGATGTGTTTTGAGAGTAAACCCACAACATGTACAATTCGAGAACCGTGACGGGTCACTGGTGATTGCAACTGGTTTCATCAGGCGATTTGCCACAATGCTGGCAGATGTCCCAATGAAGCTGGTCACGAAACCTTGGTTATGAATATTACGCGTTAGTCACTCTTCAACTCGCGCTGACATCGGAGCGTTTCGCCACCTCTGTGTTGCAGGAATGGAGGAGCTCAATTTGTCCGACATGTGCTCGCCAACACGAACGCAGACCGGCGATAGCAGCAGCATCTCGTCCTTCAGCTACCGGGATATCATGCGAGAGACGCCCTCCTCCAGCAAGGTGTGGTCACAGCGACGGCGCTTGCGTCACTCGATGGGGCGTTTCCCCCACGCACACACGTCGATTTCCTCCGGGTGCTGTGGTTTCCTCGCACGTGTAAATGCTCGTTAACTCTTTCCCGTTCCGATGACGTATGTGTGCGTCACGTGTACGTCACGTGTACGTCACGTGTACGTCACGTGTACGTCACGTGTACGTCATCGGAAGAAAAAATGTAATAACTTTATTGGTACTGAGGCTCCCACAAGGCCATGCGGGAGGGTGTGTGGTGCGGTTTGGCGCCAGCTGTCGTAGAGCGCAGTCGTGTCGCTACGGTTCTCTGCGGTGAGTTACAACGTCTTAAAAAACAACGGTACTACGACTCTCTAAATAAAATTAACGCCGAACCTCTTTCGCTTTCCGAGACTCGGCGGTGAACGGGACACCCACCCTGCAACTTGCAGGCGTCTCGGAATGGGAAAGGGTTAATTGGCCATTCACACAGTAATATATAGAGGATCGCAGAGCTTGGGCAATGGTTGGCGCTGCTTCGTCGCGTGGCTGCCTTCCTGCTCGTCCGTGATTCCTCACGCCTCTGAGTCGATCTCAATCCAAGATTTATAACGCACCGGCATATTCCTCAGCTTCTGTTCCGATAGCGACTACTACTACTACTGGGCGACGCGCTGCAAGTCGAAATCGTCGTCGTTGACGCTCTGAATAAAACCGCGTCCCGTGTTTGTTGTGTTTGTTGTGTTTGTGGTGCCAGCAGCATACGGAGAGCCCTCACACGTCACGTCCCGCTGATTTGTCGGACGACGAGGTGACGGATATGTTCCAGCGCATCGCAGAGCTGCAGCAGGAGAAGTGGAACTTGGAGGAGAAGGTAAAAATACCTTTCGATTTAAAGCTTTTGTGACTGCAGCGATTCATCTTGGTTCTTTCGGTAAAGTCATGTAGAATGGAAATAATAAAATAATAATAATAAAACATAATAAAATAATTCTCACGACGTTTCGGCCACAACGCAAGCAGCCGTCCTCAGGTGGAGAACAGGCCGAAACGTCGTGAGAATTTACCGAAAGAACCAAGAAGATAACAATACCTTGGCGTCTTCTTTTTTACATCTAAATGGACACATAGCAAACTTTTTAAAATGAAGAGGAATTCATTATCACAGGAGTCTTGGAAAGCGCACACACACCTCACCGCTCATGTGACAGTCACCACTCACCACTCGCACTCACCAAACGCTCGCCAGATACCAGGCGCCGTTACTCACCAGACGCTCGGCATACGCCAGACACGAGACAATCCCACTCGCCGTAGCGATCGCCGCTCACACGTCCCGGCTGACTACTTGATGCTGCTCTGCGTGTGAAGGTAAAACACCTGGAGGCCAACAGCTCCTCTATGGCTGAGGACATCTGCAAGAAGAACGCGATCATTGAGGCGTACGTCATGGAAAGTCGGATAGGTAATTATATTTGTATCGACATTCCCACCGACCCAACTTTGCATTTAAACTTCTTGTTTGCGGCGTTAGTTACCGCGCCACCTTTCCTTCCCGTCGTTTTCCTTCGACCGTGAACCTAAATTAAACGATCGCCTTTGTGGTGCATTTCCACGGGAAAAAATTATCAACGAATGTAAAAATCATCTTTCCTCGTCCGCATGATCCGATGCACGCATCGCGAGCGTTGGGATTTGTCGTCACTCGCCCATCAAGCCGCGTGTATACGCAGCGTGTGCGGGTTGTAGCCGTTGGCGGTTCGACTCCGGCAGGACCCCCCCGTCCCCCCGCTCCGGTTAATATCGCGGATGTATTCACCGCGAATAAGCGCCGCCCGCTTCGTAACGAGACGCTAAAGGTCACGTCACATCATTTTGCAGAAGAGTAAGCCATGGTGTGTCGACGACACGGTCCAAATTTGGCAAGAAATATTTTTAATTACTCTAAAATATACTCTACTGGAAATCGCGTAGCAATCATCGCTGGGTACTGTGGATGCCGAATTGAACGGTCCCAGATTGTATCCAAACGGCAAAAAGCCGTACCGAACGTAGTTCCGAATCGCACGCTCGTTTAGCAGTGGGAAGGAAAACTGGAGGAACTCGGAGGAAACCCACGCAGAAAAATCTAAATATATATTGACCTGCCGACGACTGGTACCAGCGATACCAAGATCGGCCTCTATGGAGGAGGCTCGTGAAGGACGCTACTGGGCAGTTGGAGGCAGTCGCCCTTCAGCAACAACGGAGGGCAGAGGAGCAACGCTCACAACAACGAGCGTAGCGCCGGGCAGCTAAAATGCAGCAGGTTGGCACAGTAGGGAGTACAGCTGGTGGTACATATGCCGGTCATCTCAGTCAGTCAACCCGTGGCACCTGGGTCTGTCCAGAGACCTCCCGTCAGCGAGCCTTCGACACTTCACGTGGCCTCAAGGTGCGAATGGCGGGTATGGGTATTGGTATATTATAATCTTACACGCAAAGCCACCTGCCCATGTTCTTTTTTTACTACCTACTCTGAAGACACGGCCGCGGCGCACGCCCACGCGCACGCCCACGCCGACCGGAGCAGCATCGGCAGCGTGTTCCGGGACCTCGTGAAGCCGGGGGACGACAGCGTGAGGGACATGAACAAAAAGCTGCAGCACATGCTGGAGGAGCAGCTCACCAAGAATATGTACCTCCAAAAGGTGAACGCCGGTGCATCTTCTTTTTGCCTTCGTTGCTTCGCGCGCGCCGGCCGCTGACTCGTTATTCGCGAGGGGACGGGGGGGGTGGGGTGACACGTCGCGGTGATGCTCGCGAACAGCAGTTTTCGCGGATAATGAGCTATTCATTTTCATGAATTACCTTAAATACATTTTCATTAATTACCTAAAATAAATACGTGAAAAAAAACTATCAAATACATGGAAATGATAACACGAAAAATTTGTATTGCTTATAATAAAGATGAAGTAAATACAAATATATGAAAGTATCAAATAAAAGTTTACAAATGAACGTAGCTTAATTTACGATTCCGCTACGCATTACCACTTTGTCATCGCTTTGTCGCGTTACATTCTCATCACTTTGTTTCTCTCTCGCGGTGCAGCCGTGTAGAGCGGTCCGGATGCGATTCGCGGACAGCCATAGCGAGGGAACACTGTACACGACCATAGGTGCAGCAAGAGCCCCTCTTGCTAACCCCCGACCTCGATCGGTCGGTCGATCTGTCTGTCCGTAGAACGACCGATGTTTACCCCCCACAGAGGCGCTTGCTGTAGAGTTAACGTCGCCGTGTGTTAAGGGTCCGTTAAAATGACAGTAATAACGACGGTTACCACGGCGCCGTAACTTGGCAACCTTTGCACGGGGCACCGATCTTTAAGGACATTTTATTTTGATCGTAAACAAAACACGGTGAGCCCGATGCAGCACGCGGCGCGGCTCGCGTGACCGGACTTCCCGGGGGACAGTCCCGATGCAACTGGATCGTGTAAAGGAGGGGGGGGGGGAGGTAAAAGGTGGGGACTTTAAGAACAATTCTAGATTTGAAGCTTTCGTGACTGCAAGGATTCATACTCTTAGGTTGAAATTATGTCTGTGTTTGTATATTTGGATGGCTTCGTGTACAAACCTTTGATGGTAGCCAGGAGGTTTGCAGAGTACCTTGGTCTCGGAAAAGACAATCTCATGAGAGCTTTTATTAATTACATTTTTTTACCTACGTGACTTTACCGAAAAAACATACTCTAAGAAAATTTTTATTTGGGAAAAGATAACAAAAAATTTGAAAAAATAAATTGCGGTATTGTCGCCGCTGGATGGGAAGCGTTAGAGACGCGAGTCAAATCAGTGGGCTCGGAGGCGGCGTTTTGACGATTCGTCGCGGGATTCTGTGTTGACAAGCGCCTGCCAGGCTCCGTCAACTTTCGTAACGAGCGTTTGCTTTCCCAGGCACGGAACGTTGACGCGAATGTTCGTTTGCTTTTATATTTTGCAGGACATGGAATTGCTATCTCAGGAGGTGGTGCGGCTAAGTAAGGGTCCCAGCGTTAACAACGAGACATCTTAAACTTTCTGCACAACTTACCAAAACTCGCGTAAAACTTCAAGCTCGAATGAATGAGCGTGCGCTTAAGGTGGGGTGGGTAAGCGGGGGACCAGTGCTAATCTCGGTAGATGTGATGAACAGAGGCCAAAACATACTCCTGGCCCTCGGCCTAAATATTCTTTCTCCAACCCTCAGAAGCCCACAGTCACATGTCCAAGTGGTCCGCCCTAAGCATCCACTCGCCGCGCTGTATATCCAAGCCAAACACCTCACTTTAGTAGCAAACTTCTCTCATCTCTTAGGCCCGCGACGGCGAATCTAGTCGTAGGCTTGACACGCTCGCAAGTCTCCATTGCACAGTTAGTTTGCTCGTGAAGAGAATAAGCTACGGGGGGGGGGGGGGGGGGGTAGATAGAGGAAGGACTTGAAATGGCTTGAACTCGAGTTGGGGGAAATTACGATTTGAAAGGACCTTCTCGGAACCTTATTGGGTCCAGGGGTGTTCGTAACTCGCCTACATTCCGCACCGATGAGCAAGTTTTACGCGCGCGAACAAAAAACCAACCCCCCGTGCCGCGCCAAGATTTGGACAGGAGGTGGTGAATATTGAATTGCAATTGTGAGTTGTGACAGTCTCCCACTGTCTGTGTGCCTGCGTGTTGTGGTTTGACAATATGCTGCTGTTAGAAGGGAAAGAAAACCCCCCATCATGTCTGTACATACCATTGTTATTGTAAAAATACAATCCGTGCATCTCAAACGAAGGGACCATCGTCACGTCAACCACTACTTGGCAATGTTCAAAAAGTAAACGCGTGGTTCACTTTGCTACCGCGACGGTCCTTCGGTAATTACGAGCGCTCCCGAAAGGAACGCGCGAGAAATCTATCGCACATGTCTCTCAAACGTCGTGTTTTAAGTCTATAAACGGTATCCTGTTGGTGCACTTCAGTACTCGATGTTTTTTGTCACGAGTGTAAAACCGGTGTTGTATACCAAGGGGAGTGGGTTTGGAATAACAATGTACTATACCAATGGGTTGTTTATTGTGTAAAGTATTGGAGGAGATGTGATTTAATTGCATCGCAGTGTCTTTTACGGTCGGAAAATAGGAATAAACCTTTTCGAAACTGCACTGCAAGAGACTTCAAAAGAAATTAAGTTGCTTTGTACTCGACGCAGATGCACCCGCGCACCAAACACAGCCACACGTGCAGAGCAGCATGTAGAAATAGCGATATGCAAATGCTACGTATGCGTGTTTCACTTCTTTGGCACCACGTGCTCATCGAATGCACCGGGGAAGGACAACAAACTAAACACAAAACAGTTTTAAAGTGATGAGTTTCTTTTTTTTCAAAGGCAAGATAAACACGAACATAAAAAGCGTCAATCTTGATTTGAAGCCTACGTGACTGCAGGAATCCATACTCTGTGGTTCTTTCGGTAAAGTCACGTAGGTAGAAAATAAAATAAATCACGACGTTTCGATCGCAACACAAGCGGGTCGTCCTCAGGTGGAAAAAAATATAAAAATGTAATCGAGCAGTGGAACCGATATTTTTTTCTGCCTGAGGACAACCGCTTGTGTTGCGATCGAAACGTCGTTATTTATTTTATTTTATACCTACGTGACTTCACCGAAAGAACCAAAGAGTATAAAAAGCGTGGTTTTTTCATGTTCATGCAAATCCCGAGGAAGGCGATGCACATCCAAGTCGACTCAAACTTCCTGTAAATCACCTGACGAGTGTGACCACGTCCCCCATTAAACCCCTCCCCCCTTGAACCCCTCCCCCCTGAACCCCTCCCCCCTCTCTGGCCCGCCCACTGTGAAGACAGACGCCGCTCCTTATGGCAGCAGCAGCAGCAGCAGCATCGAGGCCCTTGTGCAGCCTCCTCCTCCTGTCATCTTTCCTGACAACTTCTGTCTCGTTTTTTCTGTCCCTTTCCCCACCCTCTTTCCCGATACACTACGCCGTGTCATGAGTTGACCAGCACGCACACAGACGCACACACACACGCGCGTACACTAACTCACAGGACGCCAATTCTGTTCCGTTGCCTCGGGTGTGATGACGTCAGGACAACGATGGTGTCGTCACCGCCCCTGGCCCTGCTTGGCCCCCCCTACCCCCTCACCCAGACAGATTCGGGTGTCTTGCGAATCGGATGTCGAGAACGGTTTGGTTCTGAAATGGTCCGCGGAAAAACCCGCTCGTTACCGCCCGGCCCAGCGCTTTTTGCCAGTGGACGAGGGGGGAATGGTGACCATGCGTGTTCATAGCCAAAACGTTATTTTACAAAAACAAATGGAGACTAAAAATGTCATAATCAGCGTTTATTCTCATCACTCAACTTTAACGACGAACGAAACGACGAACGCGGTTTGTACGGCATCTCCACCTTTGTAAAGTCAGATTTTCTTCACTTTTGCAACATTAAAGCCCAGGCACCGTACTGCCAGCACTTAAATGCGAGTTGTAATTGCTTGTAAACATTTCAATTCAAGTCCTACTGCTTTCCCAGATGGTTGGCTCTGGCCGTTGCCGTTTCCACGGCATTAATGACTGTGGATCGGAAGTTCCCCTTTTCCAGTTCGTGTATCCCGTATATTGTGGTTCCTCCAGGAGACGAGACGTCGTCCTTCAGCTGACTTGGATGCGCCTTGGTTTGCAAAAGCATTCTTCCAGCGCCCTGCAAAGAAAATCGTTGAAAATCGTTGAAATTCGCGCGACGAGGTGACGTCAGAAGCGGTGGCGTCATTTATGCAAAACGCACATGAAGATGCTTTTGGCCGATCAACGATAAGCGTTTAATGCACTGGGAGGAAATCGGAGCGCCCGGAGGAAACCCACGCGTGCGAGGGGGCAACACGCTATCCCCGAACGGATAGGCCAGGTGATGCACAAGTCCACTTCCTGTACCGCCCTCTCCTGGCGAGCCAGGGGTACGGCGGGAAGGGAGTTTTTCAACATCTGTGCGGTCACCCACCAATCCCTCGGTGCTACTGCCGCAGTGCGGGGTGGCGGGCTGCGTGGACAGCCACCACAGCCCAACTCTATCATTGTACGAGCTGAACCCATAACAAGCATCGTCGTGGAGAATATACGTAACAAGCCAATTCACCTGCGCTTAAAAATACAAAATGTACACGTCCCAATGGCCACACAGCTTTCCGGGAATGCAACATTTCAGCAGCATTGGTTCCACTCGAGCAAACATCTGGACCAGTTTTCCACATTCTGTGTCTCACCAGTAGAGTCAGACCTGCCTGTCGCAATGTTGGTGGACTGCCAGAGGTTTATCGGCAAGGACCCCTCTGTATTAAACATGGACTCCGGTCCGTACGTACGTTACGTACGTTGAACTTTCGCACCGGACGTAGCCAACCGCGCTAATCGGAGGTGCGGGGGAAGGACAACAAACTAAACACAAAAGCAGTTCTAAAGAAATTAGTTTTCAATTTAGACTTAAAAGTGCATAGCTCCAGCGGCTTCCCAATATCGGAAGGAAGAGCGTTCCAGACGGCCGCAGAAGCACATCTGAAAGCTCGCGATGCAGTGACCGTCTTTGTTCGATGGTTAGCCCAAAATACCGCTGCGAGGATGACCAGAGTTTTCAAAACCTCTCGACACAAACTAACCATGCGCGTCGTTTTGGGAAATATAAGTAACAAAATTAGATAAGACGATATGCCTCCTTCCCATAACGGTCTCCCCACTTATAAAAATTGAAATCACAAATCCCATCAGCCACGGGGCCTTGTGGGAGTTCTTTTGTCCAGCTGATGCTGGTGGTGATGCTGCTGACGATGATGAGCGTCCGTTTGACGAGCGTACATCTTTCATCGTTGTCGTCGTCGTCGTCATCACGATCCGTGGTCAGATAGCCCCTAGTCGGTGTCCACTGCACGTTTCGTCATTAATTGTTTCCACTTCCCTCTGCCTAGTAGTGCCAATATGCTCAAGTAGTGGCCACATCTTTCTGGCACCGACCTCTTACGACATCATCGTCATCAAGCCATTCTCCGTTAGGCCTCCTTCCATCCCCCCCCCCCCCCCCCCCGAACAACAACAACAACAACATCAACACGTGTTCACAACTTACACGTCACTGTCCACCCTACACACACCCCAAGCTGTAATTTGATCACCCTCTCTCCACGCGCTGCAGAAACCACCGCCGCCACCGCCGCCGGGATCGATTACAATCGGTGACGAGCGCACGCCGCCGTGGGACTTGCCAGCAAGGTTTGGGCCGCGATGTCGCCAGCCACCGCCCTCGTCATCCCCATCTTCACGGCTCCATCCGCCAACGCCTCCGCAAACATGTACGCCTGGCGCGCGCCGGAGTCGCGAAGCAAACGCGGTTACCGTCCTGCGGCGAGACAACTCTTCGTGCGAACGTACGCGCTGCGTCCAAACCGGCTCCAAGGCGATTCGGGTGTTGAAAGCGGCTTACATCGGCGACGGAGGTGCGATGATCGATGACTCTGGTGTTGAACGGAGGTGACGGAGCTGTGATTATTATCAATGACTCTGGTGTTCAACGGAGCTGTGATTATTATCAATGACTCTGGTATTCAACGTAGGTGTGATGATCGATGACTCTGGTGTCGAACGGAGGTGACGGAGCTGTGATTATTATCAATGACTCTGGTGTCGAACGTAGGTGACGGAGCTGTGATTATTATCAATGACTCTGGTGTTGAACGTAGGTGACGGAGCTGTGATTATTATCAATGACTCTGGTATTCAACGGAGGTGCGATGATCAATGACTAGTGTTGAACGTAGGTGACGGAGGTGTGATGATCGATGACTCTGGTGTTGGAACGCGGCTTACGTAGGCGATGCCGCTCCCGCTCATTCCCGTGTGGATGTCGATGTAGGGCTCGGGCACCGCGAGGCACATGCCGCAGTGCGACAGCAGCTCCTGCAGGAGCAGCGCCTCCTCCGGCGTCGTGCTGCGCCCGCGGGCAAACACCATGGCTCCCTCTCCCACCTGGCACGCCGTGTTGGGCATCAGCCGCACCACGTGCGCACCCACTGGGCAGCTCCTGCGGCAGGTGAAGAGAGAGGAGTTGAGCGACGATTGACAATTCGGCTTTGCTCTCCAACACGCCGGTGGTGCGGTGGTGCTGTTCTGGTAACGAACTGTCACGGTCTGTTCACGAGACAAACCTTACTGGTTGGCTGTCGGGCGGTGGCGGGTTTACCGACGCCATCTAACCCAAAAACCTCTCTTATGGACAATATATCTTCTTGGTTCTTTCGGTAAAGTCACGTAGAAGGGAAGTAATAAAATAATAAAAATAATAAAACATAATAAAATAATTCACACGACGTTTCGGCCACAACGCAAGCAGCCGTCCTCAGGTGAAGACCAGGTCTGTCGGGGAGACAGCGTCTTAAATCGAAAAATGGACAATATAGTTTTACCTTTTCCAAGGTTGCGATCGTGATGCCAGCCGCGATGGAAACGATCAGGTGGTCTCCCGTCACCTCTGCGCGAATGTCAGCCAACGCGGCCTTGACGACTGGCGGCTTCGTGGCGATGAAGACAACCTTGCAGGCCCGGACCACCTCTCCGTTGTCTCTTGTCGTCTTCATTCCAGCCTCCTGAAAAATGTGTGTGGGGGGGCATAACAAACGTCGAGTCATGTAACACCGTCTGATTACAATCATTATCGAACACCACTGCCAGAGCACAGAGCACAGGGCACAGGGTTCCCGAAATGGCTCAAGGGGTCAGAAAGAACGAGGAAGAAGTGACGCTCCGATCGACGTCGTCACGGGTGAGAGTGTAACGCGTCTGTTGAGCTGGTTTGGGCGGTGAAAGGTTATTTGTTTGAAGGGCTTAGGGAAAAGGAGAGTTCAGGGAGGGGATTGCAAAGTGGTGGAGCGGTGTGAGGGAAGAGCACAAAGAAAAGTGGGGTAGCCCTGCAGTGTGGCGAGTGGGTGCATGGGTGAGTGAGTGGGTGAGTGGATGGGTGGGTGATTGGGTAAGTGAATGGGTTAGCTAGTGGGTGGGTGGGTGAGTGAGTGGGTGAATGGATAGGTGATTGGGTGAGTGGATAGATGGGTGATTGGGTAAGTAAATGGGTTAGATAGTGGGTGGGTGAGTGAGTGGATGAATGGATGGGTGAGTGGGTGAATGGATAGATAGGTGATTGGGTAAGTGAATGGGTTAGCTAGTGGGTGGGTGAGTAAGTGGGTGAATGGATGGGTGAGTGAGTGGGTGAATGGATGGGTGATTGGGTGAGTGGATAAATGGGTGATTGGGTGAGTGGATGAGTGGGTGATTGGGTAAGTGAGCAGGCTAGAGAGTGGGTGTGGGAGTGAATGATTAAGTGGGTGGGTGGATGAGTGGGTGGGTGAGTGGGCAAGTGAGTAAGCTAGTTAGTGGGTGGGTGGGTGAGTGGGTGGGTGGGTGGGTGGGTGAATGAGTGTTTTACATGGCACTGGATTAAATGCTTCGACGGCTCATAGAGACTTGCATTACATTTCATGTGGGCACACACTGCAGTCAAAAGCCAAATCCAGATATGACATTAAATGTTAAACTCTGAAAACTTTTTTTTTTGGGTCCTCCAACTTTGAGGGATCAAAGTATTATAACTTAAATGTTGAACCACACTCGAGAAAAGTTTGCATCTGGAGGTGGTTAAGGGTTCTGAATCAAAATAATACCTCAGTTTTAAACATATATATACACTGTAAGTTTAAATGACCAATTTTGATTCCCTCCGAACTCAGGGCGCTAAAGAGTGTGTTTTTAACTTGTTGTTTACAAAGCGAGGACCTATGAAGGTTTACACCAGAATGTTTCCAAGGACATCAAATCTTCGATCGCCAAATCTTTCGGTAGGCCTTTGTGGAAGAGTTGCGACACGTAAGAAACAATGCAATCGGTAAGTTTAACACGTAGGAGGCTTTCATGACCAATATTCATAAGAGGTTTTGTTTTTTTGTGTTAGATCGCGTAAATATAAATGTGTCGTTGAACCCGCCACCGCCCGACACAGCCAATTAGTAAACTTTGTCACGTAAAAACAGAACGTGCCAATTCGTCACTAGCACAGCACCACCGGTGTGTGTGTTGGAGAGTAAACCCACAACAACATTTACGATTCGAGTACCGCGACGTTTCGCCGATAACTACAACCGGCATCATCAGGCGACAGCCAGAGTTGTGGAGAAATCCTCCCGTTTCGGTCTCAAAGCCTCCTGTTTCGGTCCGCCGGCAAGCTCGGCGCATCGCGATTACGCCGCGCGCCGGCGTACACACCGTGAAGAGACCAGTGGAGCGGTCGGTCGGCGCGCTCGCCAGGATGCGGTCAGCTTTTACAATTCCTGAAGAAGAAGAAAAAAAAACGACAAAGGCCGAGAAGGGGATCATCGCGGCAAACTCCGTTTCCCTCCCGCCCGCCCGCCCCTCCGTACCACAACTCTCCACCGTGGCCGCGTCCTCACCGCCGAGACACGAGAGTGAGAGCCGTCACAAAATCGTGCACCCCGGAGACAAGAGGTCACAAGAGGTCACAGGAGCGCTCCCCCCCGCCCTCCCCGGGTGAAGGGTTCAACACGTTCCAACCTGCTTGCCGGAGGTGACAGCTGAGAAGAACGGAGTTCATCATCAAGCCGCGGCGTTGGACCAACAACTAAATAAATGGGCGGCATCGGCGACGTTTGTGATTTTAACTTTACGCCGGAGGTCGGGCTCACGGCTCGTCACCGGCACGCCGATGTGCCGTGCACTGCTCCTGTCCCCCCAAGCACTCCCCTCTACCGCGCCAGTCGGTGGACAGTTCTTGATATGCAGCTTAAGCCTCCCGTACACCACGTGGCCTCCGTGTTGCCCACTCCCGCTCTGAAACCCTCCGCTCTCCCCGCCCGCTGTGAAAACACGAAACACGCTCCAGCTCCTCCTCCTCAGTGTCCACGCAAAGGGCCGCGTGGACACTGCAGCGCACGCACAAACTGACCAAACACTCGCATTTCAATCTCAAGCAGCTCCGCACATCCACCATCACGAACGAGGCCCTTGGCGGGGAGAAGCGCGCCGCGCACACACACACCTCGCTTTAAAATCCCTTTGGCCAGGGAAATTGCCATTTTCCCCGCGCCGATGAAGCCGACCGTGAGGTTTGCGGAATGAATATTCGCCGTCGCCGGTGCCGGCTCATCGTAGCCTTCCTCGTTCATTGTGGAGACGTTGAAGTCACCTGTCGACGAGAAACAAAACGTTTGAAGCGTGAATGTGTCATGGTTTCTCGATAAGCTATACAAAGGCTTTTAGAAGACGAAAAATTAACCCGCAAAAACAAAGTTTTTCACTATAAATCCTTTATATGCGTGGCGGCGAGAGTCCTCTCGTCCTCTGGCTTGAGATGGCTGCCATCTATGGGTCAGGTGATTGCCTGCCACCATTAAGCAATTGGTAATTAAGTATAAAAAAAAAATCCTAAAAAGTGTTAAATTTTGGAAAAAAATTTTCACGAAAATTCATTGTCACGCACAACGAGTCTGTGTGCAAAATGTCAGCTCGATTGGATCACGGGAAGTGGGTTAAAAAACGACCGAAAGATTTGCACGGTCGTAAGCGCGCAAGCAAGCAAGTGAACTTAATATAAAGGATTTTAAAAAACCTCAGGTTTATCTTTAGAAGTAGTCAGTTGAACACGCAGGCTTTCGGGACCAATGTCATCTATAATATAGGTTTTTTTTTGGGGTTTAGAAATCACATTTATCCCTCTATTTAAGGAACGAAACGGGAGGATTTCTCCACAAATCTGGCTGTTGCCTGATGATGCCGGTTGTAATTACTGGCGAAACGTCGTACTCTCGCGTAAATATAAATGCACACAACCGGTTAGTGCGGTACTAGTGACGAATTGGCAACTTCTGTTTACGTGACAAACCCTTACTAGTTGGCTGTGTCGGGTGGTGGCGGGTTTAACGACACATTTATATTTACGCGATCTAACCCAAAAAACCTCTTATGATAATTTATTTTTTTACCCTTTTATCTGTGTGTTGTGTGTGTGTTGTGTGTGTGTTGTGTGCATGGTGTGTGTTGTGTGTGTGTGTGTTGTGTGTGTGTTGTGTGCATGGTGTGTGTTGTGTGTGTGTTGTGTGTGTGGTGTGTTGTGTGTGTGTTGCGTGTGTGTGTTGTGTGTGTGTTGTGTGCATGGTGTGTGTTATGTGTGTGTGGTGTGTGTGTGTGGTGTGTGTGTTGCGTGTGTGTGTGTTGTGTGTGTGTTGTGTGTGGTGTGTTGTGTGTGTGTTGTGTGTGTGTTGTGTGTGTTGTGTGCATGGTGTGTGTTGTGTGTGTGTGGTGTGTGTGTTGCGTGTGTGTGTGTTGTGTGTGTGTTGTGTGTGTGGTGTGTTGTGTATGTTTTGTGTGCATGGTGTGTGTGTTGTGTGCATGGTGTGTGTGTGGTGTGTGTGTTGTGTGTGGTGTGTGTGTTGTGTGTGGTGTGTGTGTGTTGTGTGTGGTGTGTGTTGCGTGTGGTGTGTGTGTTGTGTGTGTATGTTGTGTGTGTTGTGTGTGTTGTGTGATGTGTGTGGTGTGTGTGTTGTGTGTGGTGTGTGTGTTGTGTGTGTGTGGTGTGTGTGTTGTGTGATGTGTGTGCATGGTGTGTGTGGGGTGTGTGTGTTGTGTGTGGTGTGTGTGTTGTGTGTGGTGTGTGTGTGTTGTGTGTGGTGTGTGTTGCGTGTGGTGTGTGTGTTGTGTGTGTATGTTGTGTGTGTTGTGTGTGTTGTGTGATGTGTGTGGTGTGTGTGTTGTGTGTGGTGTGTGTGTTGTGTGTGTGTGGTGTGTGTTGCGTGTGGTGTGTGTGTTGTGTGTGTATGTTGTGTGTGTTGTGTGATGTGTGTGCATGGTGTGTGTGGGGTGTGCGATCGCTTTATGGCCACTTAGGAGTGCAGCCTGGCAATCATACGCCTGTGAGACCCGGAGCTTTGGAGGCAAGGGGTTGTTAGATCTCAGAACACACACAGAGAGACACACACACAGAGACACACACAGACAGAGACACACACACATAGCCACACACACAGAGACAGAGAGACACACACAGACACACACACAGAGACACAGACACACAGAGACACACACAGAGACACACACAGAGACACTCACACACAGAGACAGAGAGACACTCACACACAGAGAGACACACACAGAGACACAGACACACACAGACACAGAGACACTCACACACAGAGACAGAGACACACACAGAGACACACACAGACACACACACAGAGACACACACACAGAGACACACACACAGAGACACACACACAGAGACACACACAGAGACACACACACAGAGACAGAGAGACACACACAGACTCACACAGACACAGTGAGACACACATAGAGACACGGAGACACACAGACACACACACACAGAGACACACACAGACACAGCGACACACACAGATACACACACACAGACACACAGAGACACAGACACACACAGACACACACACAGACACACACACAGACACACACATACACTCAAACAGACACTCACACAGACACAGACACACACAGACACTCACACACACATAGAGACACACACACAGACACACACATACACACACACACAGACACACACACACACAGAGACACACACACAGACACACAGAGAGACACACACAGACACACACAGACACAGAGAGACACACAGAGACACACACACAGAGAGACACACAGAGAGACACACACACACAGAGTGAGACAGCCGGCACCCACCCGTGGCGAGGTAGTCTCGTCTCTGCCTGCGGGCTGCACACGCTGCAGCTCCACCCACCAGCAGCAGCGTCATCGCCCACGTGACGACCACGGTGGGTGGGGCGTGGTCATGTTCACACTCACCACCACTAGTACACTCACCACTAGTACACTCACCACTACCAGTACACACCACTACTCACCACTAGTACACTCACCACTAGTACACTCACCAGTACACTCACCACTACCAGTACACTCACCACCACTCACCACTACTCACCACTCACCACTAGTACACTCACCACTAGTACACTCACCACTACTCACCACTAGTACACTCACCACCAGTACACTCACCACCAGTACACTCACCACTAGTACACTCACCACTACACTCACCACCAGTACACTCACCACTACCAGTACACTCACCACTACTCACCACTAGTACACTCACCACCAGTACACTCACCACCACTCACCACCACCATCAGTACACTCACCACCAGTACACTCACCACCACTCACCACCACTAGTACACTCACCACTAGTACACTCACCACTACTCACCACTAGTACACTCATCACCAGTACACTCACCACTAGTACACTCACCACTAGTACACTCACCACTAGTACACTCACTCACCACTAGTACACTCACCACTACACTCACCACCACTCACCACCACCAGTACACTCACCACCAGTACACTCACCACTAGTACACTCACCACTACACTCACCATCAGTAGTACACTCACTCACCACCAGTACACTCACCACTAGTACACTCACCACTACACTCACCACTAGTACACTCACCACTAGTACACTCACCACTAGTACACTCACCACTACACTCACCAGTAGTACACTCACTCACCACCAGTACACTCACCACTACTACACTCACCACTAGTTATGGACTTACCCCGTGCCTCTTCTGGGCATCTGTAAATAAGAGCTTCATAGCTTATCGGATTTCTCCAGTGTTCATATTTTTATTCTGAAATCCCACCGGCAATTGCCCCAGATTCGGCTCCAACAAATGGAATCGTGTTGTTGGTAAACAATATTTTAAATAATACAACCCCGCAAACTAATATCATGCCGTATCTTAGAATTTTAAAGTTAAGGGTCACCAAGTTTGCTGCCTCCTGTGAGCTTAAAAAATACCAATTTCATCCCGAAAATCCTGAAGCTCACTCACAGATCTATAGTAATTATTCCGAGTTTCTTAGCTTAATAGGCATTACTCGGGAAATACACTCGATTCTGATTCGGTGGCAGCATAACATCCTCTTGACCTTGGCATCTCTCGGCTGACTGCCAGCGGCCAGGCTGGAAATCCCACCTCTTTCAACCACTCCATATTTGCAGGCTTTGGTCTGAAAGGTATCAACAAAAATAAAGTTCTCAATGTAATCAAACCTAAATTTCAATTTAAAGCTTTCGTGACTGCAGGGATTCATCTTCTTGGTTCTTTCGGTAAAGTCACGTAGAAGGGAAATAATAAAGTAATAAAAATAAAACAATATGTAATAATATTATGGTTTATTTTTATAATTTTATTATTTATTGGTTCTTTCGGTAAAGTCACGTAGAAGGGAAATAATAAAATAATAAAAATAAAACAAACAATATATTATATTATTATATTATGTTTTCTTGTATTTATTTTATTATTTCCCTTCTACGTGACTTTACCGAAAGAACCAAGAAGAGTAATCAAACCTAGCCACGTGCAGTTAAAAGAGGAACGGATCAACCAGCGAACGATGGAACTCCAGGATGAGCAATTGGATGCACTTGCAGAGAAGTCCTTGGAATTCATATTCTTAGGTTTTTTTCGGTAAAGTCACGTAGGTAAAACATAAAAATTAATAAAAGTAAAATAAAATAAAAATCACGACGTTTCGGAGGCAACACAAGCTTCCGTCTTCAGGTGGAACCGTCACAGCCACGACAGCTGCATCAAGTAAATCTAGAAGTCCTTGGAATTCGCAGCCATCAGCCTCGGAGTAATCATGCTTGGAAGCAGTCAGTTGAGGTCACGCGTGTCTCCCTGCGGACGCAACAAGTGGCGTGGGGCCAGCTCTCCGAGTGCTGGACAGCGCCTTCATTTACAACGCCAACACCCGCAACTCCCAAAGATGCAAGACGAGCAGGCTGACCAGCCCATCGCGAAGACCCGTGAGACGGAATCGGCTGTGGGAACCGATTCCCCGGAGAGAACCAAGCAAGGCAGCGCAGGATGATGGCAAGAACCACTTCCCCCACGCGTGCCGCGTTGGATTCATCGATAGGCGCCGAGAGCAGAGGTCGCAACCGGGTACCCGATACCCGTACCCTACCCGGCTACCCGGCCGGGTACGGGTATCCGTTTGCGACCCTGGTGCGGCCGGGTACGGGTAGACCGTGAGTCACTGGTGAGTCACCGTTTGTCACTCATTTCCCAACGTCTTGTCTCTTCTCACAATTCAAGTTCCTAGAATCAACCCACCCGCGCCTGCAACATGGCTTCATCCCAGAGGTCGCAATCAGGTACCCGATACCCGGGTAGGGTACGGCCGGGTACGGGTACCCGTTTACGACCCTGGTGCGGCCGGGTACGGGTAATAAATCAAAACCCGTTTGCGACCTCTGGCCGAAAGCCACGCACAATCGCAAGCTTCGAGCCCCCGCACGCACCACTATAGCGCGGAAAAAATAGCACCAACTCTTCTACCTTCTCCGTCATCGTCGTAGCGCACTGGGACATTCCGTGCCGGCGTCAAGGTCCACATTATGAAAGTGCAAAAACGATCAGCAACGTACTAAATCCGAATTACACGTCGCAATCGTGAAGCGCTCCTGCCAGACGAATGCCCCGGGTCGCTCTTGCAAATGACACTCTCCTGATCTCCGGCGTTCCCATCTGGATAAGCTAAACGTTAGACGGAAATTTTGGACATGCTGTCCGCAAACACATCACACAGTCCAAAGGTGACCAAAATGTATAAAAGATATCGTTGGTCTTGAAAAAAAATAGCGTAGTGTACGTGTGCACAAGAATATAATCACAAATTAGTTTCCACAACCATATTTTTGATTTCGATTTAAAGCTTTCGTGACTGCAGGGATTCATCTTCTTGGTTCTTTCGGTAAAGTCACGTAGAAGGGAAGTAATAAAAGAAAAAAAATTATATTATTTTAGTATGTTTTATTTTTATTATTTTATTACTTCCCTTCTACGTGACTTTACCGAAAGAACCAAGAAGATATTTTTGATTGCTAGGCCAACTACTGTTAACTTGCTACGATTATTAGAATTACAGCAGGTATACATTTAGCATCACATTTATCGTTTTAAGATGCACGTAATCCACACATACTTTTGCGAGACGTATATAAATACAGGCGCTAACATGTTTCAGGTTTATTTTTTATTCGGCTTTGTATGGACATTACAACAGTTGTAAAACCATTTTTGCAAGAAACTAAATTAACTAATGTACTGATCACCATTACACGGTGAACGTTTGATCTAAACTGTCACATTGCATGGCCATTAGACATCAAAAGCATGAAGTTTTCTTTTTCATGTCTGCACATTTAGAAGTTAAACTACAGTCAAGTTTACATTGAAGTCAAATGTGCTGGTAAGAACAATTATATTGTATAGTTTGGCGTCTCGGCTTCAGGCTTCTTTGTCGGGTCTCCTCCTTTCTCCTCGTACAAGCCGGTGAATGGATACTGCTTCGGTAACTGCAAAACAACAAAGTAGCAGCCAGTCAGTGACACGTGCCCATTAAAATAACATGCGACTGTACACTTAAGGTGGTCAACGCAGCTACGCAAAATATAAAAAGCCAGCTGGTCGTGCGGAGAATTCATGTACTTTTGTTTGTTACGCGGCGAACTAACGACCGAAGCACACACCACGGGGCGGAACAAGGGAAATTGGTTTCCGAGCCAGAAGAACAGCATCATGCCTCCGATGAAACCAAAGAGCTGCTTGCACATGGTGTGCCAAGGCACCAGCAAGGGCGTCGTGTCCACTCGGTTCCGTGTGTACATGTCAAACTCAAAGTGCATCTGGAACAGTGGGAAGATAACAAAAAAAATACACGTCAAGACATGAACACACAACACGCACGCGCGTATGGACTGCACAGTAACATCTTACATTCTCTGGCACGAGTTTTTTTAAATGCAGCTTTGAGTTCCGTTTGTTTAACGCGTGAGAGTAATACACGAGCACCTACCGGCTCTCCCCAGTTACGTCTCAGATCTGCGGAATCCCAGTGGTAGCTTGGATCCTTTTCATGTTGCGACTTTTCCGGAAGCTGAGGATAATCGCCATACCTATAAGCGGGAGAAGCAAACTGTGCGTTTATATTTGTTTTTCGATTTAAAGCTTTCGTGACTGCAGGGATTCATCTTCTTGGTTCTTTCGGTAAAGTCACGTAGAAGGATATTATAAAATAATAAAATTACATAATAAAATAATTCTCACGACGTTTCGGCCACAACGCAAGCGGCCGTCTTCAGGTGGAGAACAGGTCTGTCTATTGACGCAAGTTTATAAAGTGCACACGATTCCAAAGAGGAGACAGTAAGACAATGCAGGTTAGTGATGAGACTGATGAGGTGTAGAATAACATGGAATGACTTACAAAAGCCCGTGCCATATTCCTTCACTATTTTTCTTTTAAGTTCTCCTCCGTGAAAAGATTTAGTCAAATTTGCAAAACCTTTTAAAATTCCACAAGGGATTCGGGACATTGTATACGTTAGAGAATGAAGGGGCCCCGATGTGGGACAGTCACAACATTAGTCGTGAGCTGTAAAGAGAAAGTGGCAGAGATATTCTTGCGAGGCGTTCACAAGACAGCGGACATGGGCTAAGTGGCAGTCGCGTATAACCACGAGGCAGGGATGCAGACACACGTAGAGGGTTGAGAGGCAGGTGCGGACAGGCAGATATAAACAACGAGAGGGTTTGCATGGATTAGTGAGAGATGGTGCGCAAAGTAGAACGGTAAAGAGGCACAAGAATTGCTGCTGCTGCTAAAGTTTTGTAGACTTCCAGGAATGTGCAGACCTGTATGTGTGTACCTTGGCATTCTTTCG